GGGAGGGGGTGCAATCGAATCGCGCCGACCAAACCGATCCACAATCGATCTGATTGGTTGAATTTCATTGAGAAGGTTTTGATTGGTTAATAATTTTGAGCTCATATGAAGTAGCCAATCAAATCGATTTAAGTTCCAACGAGAAACCACGCCACAACACGAAATTTCACTCGAAAGCACAATATACGAATTATTCGAATATTTCAACAGAATCCCTGATTTCACCTTTTCTCCCTTGGGATCATAGGAGGGTAATCTGCTCGCACTACGGCCCTAGGGTAATCCGTCGTTAATCTCCATGGGTATTGTGGCGCTGATTTGAGCTTCCTCCATTCTCCCTACTACGCTTCGCATCTCTGCTACGTTGTACCAGTATTGTGAATTCGCTATAAACTTTCAAATCAATACTGATTCACGCTTGAGTTCTGATTGGTTGAATATACTTCTTCTTTTTTTTAAGAGCCAATAAAATCTACTCAAAATTGGATTAGCCAATAGCGTCGATTCGATTCGACGGGGGCCTGGAAGTTTGTACCGAATCCACAATAATATGTTCAATGAATCTCCTGCAGCAATGACAACTCATATGTATAGCAACAGGGAGTAGGGGGCGTCTTAACGTGAGTTGTATAGTTTTGACTGCGAACAATACTCTACCATGGTACAATAGATCCGTCAATGTCGTAGAACTTGCCATTGTCCGCGGCGGTGACTCTGGCGAGAATGTCCACCATCTTGGCGACGCTTTGGTCTGCAGTGTACTTGCCCTTGTGGCCAGACAAGTCGGTCTTGACAAACCCTGGGTGTAGCAACACACACACCAGTCCCTTTGCCTTGACGTCCAGCGATAGGGTTCTTGTGAGGCTGTTCAACGCCGTCTTCGAAGTCCGGTAGCCGTACAGACCCGGGAATGAGCCAGCCTCGCCTGACAACCCAAGGCTAGCGAGGCGAGCTGACAACTGCGCCACCACCGCCACATTGGATTGCTTGACGGCTAGCTCCAGGTTGGGCAAGAACGCCCGGGACACGAGCCACGGGCCGACCGCGTTCACTTCATATTGTCGCATCAAATTGGCCTTTGTCGCAGATTTTAACGTGTCGGGTGTGAATACGCCTGCGTTGTTGATGACCAGGTGGATTGGAGTGGATGCACCCACGGATTGCGCCGCCTCTTTGACAGAGTCTTCCGACGCAACGTCCAACGACACCAACGATTCCACTCCCAGATCGAGCAGCTGCAATTTCAATCATTAGTCGTTGGATACATAAGGACCACGACGAGCGGGCTATGAGTACCTCTGCCGACGGCGTGCGCGCTCCCGCGACTACATGCCACCCCTTGGCAGTAAAATGTTTGGCGAAGGCCAGACCAATGCCTCGACCGGCTCCAGTGATCAATACGCGCTTGGGAATGGTGCTGCTCATAGCGCTCAAAGTAGTACTAGTAAGGTAATAAGTGAAAACATTCGAAGCCCAACTTGGCAAGTTGGACTTCGTGGACGATCGTTGGCATCCTATTTCGGTCAAGGAAATCTGCGATGCCATTGGGTGAAACAAGCCAATCAGATTCGCCCACTAGGTATCGAGGGGATTTCCACGGAAGTCCATGTTTGAAATGGAGTCATACACTGTTAGCAAGAAATAAATACAGCCAAATCAAACGGGACACAGTGGACTAAAGTCGAAAGAACTCGAACTTGGCCTTGTACTAACCTTAAACGGAGTTCTACTGGTAGCAACCCCCCTCTGGTGGACTTTATTGCTCAGATGAACTTGGCCTTGTACTAACCTTAAACGGAGTTCTACTGGTAGCAACCCCCCTCTGGTGGACTTTATTGCTCAGATTTATAAGGGGATAACGCTGCAGTAAGCGATCGGGTCATCCCGAACATAGTATGTATTGCTCCCACCCGCCGGTCATATCGGGGTCTGACTAAATCCAAATATACTAGTTAGGTATATAAACCTGACAGCTCTAATTTTTTTAATTGGTTTTATTTTTTTCTCCAAACTTGTATGTACTACATGTATTTGCTCTGCATTATATGGATATATATATACACAGGCTTGGCCACGAACTTGCCACGTCATCAGCCCCATACACCCCGCCTTAAGTCAGGTCAAACGACACATCTTCTTCTTGTTCGTGAGCTGGTTTTTGTGCTGGAACCATCTCTGGATGCAATTTTTCAAGCAGCTCTTCGTGCTGCTGATGGGAAGTTTGAGGCACTGGCAACGTAACAGGAGGACTGGCAACAGCTGGAGCCGGTTTCAAAGCAACAGGGTTGTTGCTATCCCCACGCATAAGCTCCATTATATATATATATATATGAATATCGCAAAAATACAATAGTGTACCGAGGTTGAGGCATCGCAGGACGACTTTTGTTTGTGCTATACATGGTCAATGTCCGCGCGAGGCGTCCGATGGGGGTGTCCAAGTATTGCCAATGGGGCTTTTTGAGCACCACCTTGAGCTGTTCTTCGTCGCCTAATCAGATATATAAATATTTATAAATATATCATTCGTCTTGATCTGTCGATATATATATATATATTCCTTTTGGAGACACGCAGTCTATTCAAAATTCAACACAAACATATTTGATACCTCGCTTGAACGCGCCAATCAAATCTTCACTGAGCGCACATTCGTCCGTGTGGAGGTACCCGTCGTCCTGGAGGTGCCGCATGTAGGCTTGGTCCGCGGCCACAACGTCCGGCTTGGCTAGATGGAGGACCACAATGCTTACAAACGCCTTGTACATGTTTTCTTTCTAAAAAGAAGAAAAATGAGTGGCCACGAGCGCTCGGCGAGTTGCATCAATTCATGACGCCACCTGGTCGATGGCTTGGAACAGCAGGATTTGCTTGGCGTAGTTGGCCACCACGTCGTCGTACGCTTTGCGTTTGAGAAAGAAGCTCGCGGACTTTCGGAACACATCGACGGCAAAGTGCGGCTTGTCCTGGGCCTCCATGAGATCGCACGCTTCCAAGTACCTAGTACGGGAATATCATCGTGTTGTTGTACCAATGAGAGCTGTTCCTGTGAACGAGTGTAGCGATGACGTGTATGGACGTACATCTTCTCGACGTCGGTATACCCCACCTCTTCGAGTGCCGCCGCGCCCTTGAGCAACATCTCGGCGGCCTTGCCCAATTCGCCCGTCTCGCCGTAGTACGCGGCCGCAGTTTGGTAATACTCCTTGGCCGCCCCGGGCTGTTTCGGGGCATACTGCAGATGCAGCTTGGCGGCTGTCTCCATGTGCATCGCTGCACGAAACGTCGCCTGGTTCTTGTGCTGGATCTCAGCCAGGCGGACGTACGTCGACGACGCGCGGGCAAAGTCCTGGCCGGCGCGGAACCCTTCAGCAGCTTTCTCCAAGTAGGGCGTCGCACTCATATAGTCAGCGCTCCACCGGAACATGGTCGTCTTCAGATGCTTCTCGGCCTTGTGCAGGTTCTCCTCTGCCTCGCGGAGCTTCGCTGTCATGATGCTGCGTTGTTGGATTTGATGCAAATCGGAATCCTGTAGAAACGAGGGGCGTTTTTTTTTGCTCGGAATTTCGGAAAAAAAACTACTTCCAAGTATTATTAATAATACTACAACTGTACTAACTGTAAAATACTAGGTAGTACTTGAAATAGTACGTATTAATATTAATATTGATAGTATTAATAATTCCCTGCTAGCACAAAATATACCTCCAAAACGGAATACTATTGGTACCAACATTACTATTATACTAGTACTACGTATTAATAGTATTAATGCGTAGTACCACACCATTTTTCGATTAAGTTCAGGTTATTTCCGGTATATTTCGTCCGACGCGCAACTGATTCACACAATGTGCGTTATGTTCGCCAACCATTCAATATATTTCGTCTAGTCCCTACTTCGTCTCATTATAGTTCGACTAATGTCCGGTATATGTCACGCCCAGGCGGTATATTTCACATGTTGTTCAATATATTTCAAATGATGTTCTATCTAAGTATTTCGATTTGCGAAGCAAATCAAGTAAATCGGTAAGTGGTGGATACTTGTCTAAATCATAGATATTGTGCTTTCGAGCTAAATTTGGTATTTTCGGTAGATTCGACGAACGACGTCAAATCCACCTGAAATCGTCGAGCGTCATTTTACTTGAAAACTAAATATACTCACTGTGACTCCTGTCCGATACAATGTTGAACTCTTTGTGAAATGGCTAAGCTTGGCAATGCACCGGATGCAACTGCAATTTGATTGATCGAAATGTATTTTTCGAAAATTTCATTGGCTACTTCGTCGATTACTGCGTCGATTTATCGAAATAACGTTAGATGGAACATCATTTGAAATATATTGAACAACGTGTGAAATTTACCGCCTGGGGGGTGAGATATACCGGACATTAGTCGAAATATAATGAGACGAAGTAGGGACTAGACGAAATATATTGAATGGTTGGCGAACATAACGCACATCTCGTGAATCAGTTGTGCGCCTGACGAATTATACTGAAAATAACCTGAACGTAAACGAAAAATGGTATACTGTAGATATGCAGGGGCTCGTTGAAACGGCGAGCTTTTCCGATCAACAATACCCCCCCCGTCTTTGCCCTCAACAGTGTTTATTTTTAGCCTGGTGGAGCACTTCGCCGCGCGCTTTTCTCGTCGCGATAAACATGCCTCGGGTGACCAACTTTGTGGACGACATTGAAGGGTCCAAACCATGCATGAAGCCATACGTGTACTTCCACAAGCCCCCCACGGTGTCGGTCGACGGCAGCACCAGCAAGCGGCTGCATCCAGGCATATGGAACAAGGGTGAGAACCCCCAGTTCATGCAGTTGCCTATTGAAGGGTCGTCTCCGTCGCACACTGGGTTTACGACCAACCGCATTGTGAACCCCCTGACCCCATCGTATGATCCTATCATCCAATTGACTCGCTTTTTTTGTCAACGCAGTTCGTTCTTTGTCATAGGTATAAACTGCCACATTGTGAGCCCGCACCACTGATCTACCCCAAGTTCCTTCGGGATAGCTATCAAACCGCCGACATTGACGGCACCCGAGCGGCTCCCCGGCATACCCTTCCCCCCCGAGACACGATGAACTTGGTATATATATATACATGCATTCGTGAATATATCTAGATTATGTACTATGTCTGGGTAGAACGATATTGCTGGGGCCACCGCCGCGTGGAGGCCGCGTGGTGTGAAAACGTCCAAGCAAAAGGATAACATGCAAGTCGCAGACATCATTCACGCGGGCTTCAAGTCCCAACGCGTCACGTACGACAACGAACATCCAGCCATCTATCCATCTATTGTTGGCCAAGAAATGTTCATGGAAACTTGATGTAGGGATGCGCTGCGTCCCGTGCATGTAGTGAACGGCTTTCGGTCGGCAGACGACCCCCTGTCGTTTCCAAGGGCCCCGTACGAAGCTACCAAACATCCGTTTTACCCCCTCGAGACCCACGACATTCAGGTACCAACCACTCGTATCCACTAGGTAGTTAAGTAATTTGCACTCAATGTTACAATTATGATAAACCGTAGGGTGCTAACCCCGCAGACAGTTTGAAGGGGATTGTGGGAAATATTCCCCACGTGAAACGACGTCATTTTCGATCCACCAACAACGTCCAGGACATTCGAGGGGCGCAGGCTAACACAGTGCACCACAGCATCGTGAGCAATCGACACGTGCGTCCTTATATTGTGCATTTCACCTAAATTTGGACTTGTAAATCGTGTCACCAAACGGAATTTAAACCAATTTAAGCTTGTACAAACTAAATATATCATACACATATTAGTATATATGTGAGTTTGTCCGATGCTAGGGTCGAATCAAACGGTTGAATTGGCATAAATTCGACAGGACGTGATTTGATTGGCTTTGGTCGTTCTTTAATCCATTTTCTTACGACATTCGATTTTGCTGAGGGCTTCAGTTTCAAATCGACTTGACAATATATAATATATACGTGTATATACAGACTATGCATAAATAAATATTCATATATTTCCGGTTGACTCTGATGAGTTTTTGTCATGGAATATGCGAACGTTTGACACGACAAACCTGTTGATGGGTTGACCAGCACACGTAATGACAAAGCCTACTTAGTGCCCAAACCTTCTGCCAATGCATATGTGCTGCCGATACATACATTCATCTTGTCACTCGCTCCAAGTATCGAATACAGTTTAGTTATACAGTTATATATATATACCGGTATCTATATTCGAATGCGGTATCAATGGCAAGGCATTTAACCGCAATGTATGTATGTTATTTTTCGCGGTAGGTTGATCCAATTTTTCCTGCGTACACTGACTTGGACGGCGACTCGCTGGAAACGGGGCTCCCAGTACCGAAAAATGTGCAATTCCCAGACGTGGCGCCCCGCGTGTCAGAGCGGAAGTCGAACAACGTGTCGACGATTCAACTTGGCATGAAACTCCCAAAGGACCAACGAAAGCCGCCCTCCACTGCTGTTGGAGTCGGCGCCAAGCACCAGGCCGCTCGGAAAGCCGACATCGAGGCCGTCAGAGGGCTCAAATAGGTTCATTTTTAGGAGAACGTTATCAGACATCATACGTATAGGCATGTATGCACGACGACGTTTACCTCGAGTGTGTGTTGGAGGTCTGTAAGTCCACTCTACTATGACTACTGAAGGAACTACGGTACTGTAGAACACATTCAAATAACGCTGTTGAACTTCGTGCCGCTATAACAACGTGACATACAGTGCTAGTACAACAATACAGTCGTCCCACCCATGAAGTACATATAGTAGTATACGATGTAGCACACGGCACTTGCTAATCCATGGGTTAATGCTAAGGTCTAAAGTTAATGTCAGTGCATTATCAGCCAGCGTTAAAAACTATGAATCCAAAGCTATATTACTGTCATGTAATGTTATCACTACCAATCAGTGATGTTTACTCCAAATTCGAGGAATCTGATTGGATATAACTCGAACCGTTCGGAAGATTGATGCCGTTCGGAAGGTTCATGCTGTTCAGAAGGTTCATTCATGCACTATTAATAGCTTACTCGATTTTCGGTGTTTGGACTTCTATTTTAATTTCGTGACTTGTAACCGGTGGGTATCCCGATGTTATCCGGATAATTTGATCGAACCGGTTTCAGCAAGATCCAAATGACACCGCCGACGCTCGCCGCTCGCCTCGAGCAAGAAGCTCGGGACCCGATCGAAGTGCTTCGTGTGCGGCTCAAGGATGTGTCTGAGACGTCCGTGCTGAACACGCAGCAACTGCTCGAGATCAAGTCGGACTACCTGCATCGCGCAGAGTCCACCAAAGGTACGCACGGCCCGTTCCTCGTCCTAGCCAATCTATGGATGTAGGCCAGCTGGATGGGTTTGTTCAAGCCCAGATTGACGAAATCGAACGTGCGTCCATGCTGTTGTCGTTTGACGCGAGCGTGGCCAAGGTCTCGCTGTCGCTCCGCAACATGGGCACGAGCTGCAACCGCATGCGCGAAGAACTCGGGGATGAAGGCGTGGCGTCCGAAGTCAGCATCGCGCGGCGCAACCTCAAGGACCTGCACACGCAAATGCAGTTCTACGAAGACCTTCCTGCCAAACTCGCCGAGATGGAGCACACCCTCCAAGCCAACCTCGGCGAACTCGTGTCGGTGTTTGGCAAGTTTCTTGTCATGGACGACTGGCGCCAGAAAATGCTCTTGCAGGTATTCTCCCCTTTCCTTGCCAAACGGGTCTAATTGTACACCTTTGAACTATATATACTCATTTCCCATCGAACGGATCCATTCGAAGCCATTTCATGACAGTTATTCAGTTATATTTCCTCAAGATATTGACCTCTGTTCGATCATGTCGCCAACACTCTGTGTGGTGTGTATTGTGCTTTCGAGTGAAAATTCATTGTGTTGTGGTTTCTCGTTGGAATTTAAATCGATTTGATTGGCTACTTCAGAAGAGCTCAACATTATTAGCCAATCAAAACCTTCTCAATGAAATTCAACAACCAATCAGATCGATTGTGGATCGGTTTGGTCGGCGCGATTCGATTGCACCCCCTCCCCAAATTTGTATATATCAAATCGACAATATCTCTATTTCTTTTCTAGCCATAGCCTCTATGTTTACGGAATGTGAATCTCGCATTCTGACGCCAAAGTCTCCATATTTTTCTATGTCGTTGCATACATTCTCACCGGCTATGCTTCGTAATTAGCTTTATATGGCCTCCAAAGACAATCAAGACGATACACTCAACAGGTATCTATTTATCTATCTATCGTCGTACCTTGACACACGTGATAGAATAACTTATCCTATTGATATTGTACTTTCGAGTGAAATTTCATTGTGTTGTGGCATGGTATCTCGTTGGAATTTAAATCGATTTGGTTGGCTACCTAAGATGAGCTCAAAATTATTAGCTAATCAAAACCTTCTCAATGAAATTCAACAACCAATCATATCGATTGTGGATCGGTTTGGTCGGCGCGATTCGATTGCACCCCCTCCCCAAATTTGTATCAAATCGACAATATTTTGTGACCTTTTCGCCAAATCTATCGATCGATTTTCCTTGTAAAGATCGTCCAGTAACGTCATCACACTAATTTCAGTCACACACACTCGAATCATTGATGTTTCATTGGTCGAAAAACAGTGGGATGATTTGATTGGCTACTTGATTCTTGATCTGGGTTTTGATTGGTCGATCGATTGTCGTGATTTGACCAAATTCAATACTTTGTAATCAACTTGACTTGATATTGTCCTTGGTTCACACACACTTGTAGCAAGCATGTGTCGAAAGCGTTGGCGGCGATTCTGCCGCGCCTGAATGACATTGACCACATCGGCAATCGAATCCTCGATGGAACGTGGAGCATTGTGATCAACTGCATTGAAATGGTGCAATTCGATCGAAAACGGCTCATCGATGCGTTTCAAATCGTCGACCATTTGGAAAAGTATGTCGGGTGTCAAAACAAATTATATATATGGGAGTGTAACTACTGCTACATGTCGTGTAGGTAGTATATGTTTTGATTCGACATGTGATGGACTGAAATATGCAGAGTTTGTGTGGTTGGAATTGTCATGGTAGTAATGGGTTTAGTGTTAATGTAGTACGAACTATTAATAGCGTTTTCATAGTTGAAGATTATTGCTCGTCGTTTTAGTGTGACACGGGTGGTAGTCGATTGCATTTTGAATTAAAGCATGAAAGAGCTCTGTGTCGTTCAAGGATGGACTAATAATTGTAGTTATTTATGCGCTGTTTGATGCATTTTGCATATAGTGAATGTTTAATAAAAACACTTCCAAACCTTGTGTTTGCAACATATCTCTACATGTGTCGACCCTATGCACACATGAACATACATTCGATCGATCGTTTGATTGAAGGATATATGAAAGATCAATCGTTGAATTTTGATTCGAGAGTACTAGTACATTGAATTATAGAATTATATGGACTTTCTTTACCCAAAATTTGGACTTTTGTGCTTTTTTATTTGCCAAATCCATCGATCGATTCTTTGACTTTTGTATGTAAAGAGCGTCCAGTATCACACTAATTTCAGTCACACGCGAATTCGGTGTTGAAATGGTCGAAGAGTGAGTTTGATTGGCTACTTGATTCGTGATCTGGGTTTTGATTGGTCGACCTTTGATTGTCTGCCTGCGATTTGGTGATTCTGCTCATTCGAATGAGCACCCAAACACTCCAATTTTGAATATATCGACTAGATGGCAATATATTATCACGTTTGGTAATTGCATTGTCCACTGCAAACTCATATGTGTACAGTATACTTCGAAGTACCAGCTACACACATACTAATATACTAAAATAAGTGATAAAAAATAATTACTATTCTCACTCTAACTCGTGTTTTGAATACTGCAGACGTAAGCGCAAACGAGTAGATATGAAGAAATTGTACTTGGACAATTCTCTCCAACCGATTAACGAAGCCAGCTCGGCTCCGTCCATGTTCCAAAAGTGTCGAGATCATCTGCAAACGTCTCTCCAAGCCAGAGTCGCAGACTTGTTTGTGTATCCGCCTGACCAAGACTTTGCCCAGGTACTAACTAGTATTACTAGTAGTAGTAGGACATACTAGAGACACTGTCGGATATACTCGGCATTGTATTGGTGCCTGGAATATATATGTACACATAGTAGGATGGTGGTGGTGGTCTTGGGTGTAAAAAATAGACGGATGTTGTTTGGATTCGTTTGCATGCAATATTTGAATCGATTTGAAACTGTTGTTCTGCACACACACATATATATATAACGTAGATTTCCAATTTAAGAGACATGGGACAATTTAAGGGACATCGGATTCAGCCAATCACCCACCTTGAAATTTGTGTAGAAATACCTCTTTAAATAAATGTTCTTCATGATCCCATGTGTTTTATATAAATCAATTAACCAATTGGCTCTATAAATACATAACCTGTTGAGGTTGCATATGTACCTGACAGAATATTATACCCTAACCACGAAAAATATATGCATGGATCAGTACTACGATCAAGCTTAAAATATGTCTCTTAAATTGTCCCCTACTTTTGAGGTGTTTCTGCTTAGAAAATGGGACATTAGAACATGATAGATACTATGAAAATAGATGTTTCAGTGCAATTATCAGTTTTCAGAGTCGAAACCCATTCCTCAGTGCCGAGCTGCTTCCATTTCCCGGCAGTGACTCCAAAATATGTCTCTTAAATTGGAAATCTACGTTATATAATTATTATTAGTAGTAGTATGCAGAAATGTACGAATTCGAATTGAAAACACATACGGTTGACTACAGTACTCCTTCTGGAGGAAACGAATAATTGCCGTCGTGCTCTGCTTCAAATATATATGAGGGCGTAATGAATAGGCATTCAATGGCATGTTGAATAATGCATCCAACCTGTTGCTTGACTTGGAATACGTCGAACGTGACGTGGCGCCGTGCTTTCCGCCGTCCATCGACGCCGTCCAAGTGTTTGTCACGAGCTACAACTCGGCTTTGGAGGTGCAGGTACTACTAGCGTTAGAATATATATATTTTTATAAATATAGTTTATCGTTGTATCCTTCAATATATATATTTTTATAAATATAGTTTATCGTTGTATCCTTCATTATATATATATTTATAAATATTCCGTAATATACACGTATGAATCGTGCATAAATGTAGTTTGCTCAAATATGCGGAAAAGCCGAGCTAGGCGTCGCTCAAAAGCTGCAGTTGGTGCAGTGGCTCGATTATTACAACACCCAAGTACGTGGAACAAAACGGCATTGATTTGAAAATAAATAAATATAATTCATTACAAATATATATATATATATATATATATATATATTTTCGTGTTTCTACGTTAGGTTGGCAAATATCGATCCGGCACCGTGTCGGACGTGTTGGACCAAACCGCGAATTTAGTCATGCGGTTGTACTTGGACGGGATTCAGGTACTAGTCTTGCTATGGATCAAATATATATATATATATATATTCACGGGTTCTTCAAACTATATATATTGACAGGTTCTTCAAGTATAAGAATGTTACTAGGACCAAATTCACAGTCATGATATGAATCAATAGTACTTCGTATATACTAGTATGGTTAATAGTATATATGGATCAATACTATATATATATTGACGCTTAATGGACGGACGGTTCAAACTATACAAATATATATGTTTAGGATCAAATCCACACGTGGGTAACCAACATTTACAACCGCGACGAAGAGGCGGTGGTGGGGCCGTCGGGGGAATTGCATTCAACACGCCCGAATGATATCATGAACATCCTGTCGTCGCAGATCACGATCGCACAAGAGTGGCTCAGCGGCGGGCTCTTGGCTCGCGTCGTGCTGGTTCGTTGCTCCAGTCGTTGCTGTAGAACTGATGGCGTACGTACGTCTGGTAGACATGTCTGACGGCGCTCATGGACCAATTGAAAGCGCGGGCGCTTCGGTTTGCGTCTACCCTCACCACGACCACCGACATCGAAGCGTTGTGTTCGTTTATCAACGACACGGATGTGCTGCAGGTAAATATATAAAACCCTTTTATAATTGTGGGTTGTGACAAAATGGCATTTGTTTGTGGGTGTCTTATGGATACACGCAATACCATATATATATATATAGAGAGAGAGAGAGTTTGGTTTGTTATTGGGAGTTCGTTCTGGGGACGTGAATGCAGTATTACTGTATTGCACTTGGTTTATGTTCCATGATAGACCCAACGTGTCTGTCCTATGCGTTTATATGCGCTTTTTCGGAATATTATTTGGTGGCTTGACAGCAATGACGTGTTGGATAGACACACGAATGTATGGCAACGTGTTTTGGTTTCACGGTAGTACTACTACTAGTAGTACCTTGTGTACACTACTACTAGTACATACCACCCTGGGGTGCTTGGATCGTAATGCAAATGGAGTGCCATAGTACTATTCCGTTAATTTTTGGTCTAGTATGGGTTCGTGTTAGGAGATTCTACTTGTGTCTGTGGCTTGGTTGACAAAGTTCTAGGACATCGATATTGTCAACTCGATTCGAAATTAACTGGAGCCCTTAGCAGAATAGTCGAATGTCTCACGAGATAGAATTGCCTAAGCGAATCAAATCACGTTGTGTGGAATTTCTGCCAATCCAATGATTTGATTATTGGGCCCAGTCCCTCCGCAGCACTGGGCAAAACCACATTTATAGCCTTATCTTTGTATTGGTTGTTTGTTCATCAAGCTTCCATGAGATTAACTGGCTTCGATTGCTAACATTATTTGGCGAAATCACAAGTCCGAATTTGGATATGACATATGCACAATAATATATCGAGATCACTCATTGCCACGTGTATACCGTGATGGTCTAAAAAATGTGTGAACTAGTCCAAATGCATGGAATTAATCGACACGATTCAATTTCCCAGCTCGGCCAACCAAATCGAGGAAGTCGCCCAGCTCACGGCGGGCCTTGGCGATACCCTCAACACGACGTCCGCCGATATTGTCGCCCTTGCTGTGCATGCGTGCGGTCTGATTGTGCACAAAATATTTGATGAAATCGAAGCAGTACGTAAAAAACACATATTGAACCAAAGATCGGTCAACTTTCTATATATCATGGACGGCCAGCGTCATGGAAACATGAATTGTGTGAGAAATCTCACTGTCTCTGTATATATATATATATATATCATGCATAGATTTGGCGTAAGGAGTATCGCTGGGCAGTATCTTGTCGTTTCGAGTAGAAATTTGGAGTCTTTGAATAATCGGCAGAAATCAACACTCTCATATAGAAAGAACGAATACAAGTGCATGTAGCACCCTGCAGTGAATAAAATCATAGGTGTTTCGTATACCCTAAACATTTGGTATACATCATTGTGTGCTTGGTGAGAGAGACGTCCATGGCAAGGCTAAAGTGGTTCGTTGCTTGATTGAAACGTTTGGAGTGGTTTGATTGGTCGATTGGAACGTTTGGAGTGGTTTGATTGGTCGATGGATTCTCTTTTAATGATATGTGTAGGACACGACAGGCCACTGGTTTGGGAAAAAGTGGGACGATCAGGACCCCGTGGTCGAGAATTTGCTTGTGACGCTGGAGGATTTTTTCAAAGATCTGCAGGCGTGGATCAGCAGTTCGTTTTTTTATGCCAAGGTGGTGCGCCACGCATTGGACCGGTTAGTAAAGGAAGCGAGGAATGATGAGTTTGTCCTATGTTTCTGAGCAACGCTATGGCCAACTTAAATTGGTCTAACGGGTGGAGAATTGTTTTGTAGTTGTGTGGATGAATACACCAACCGATTTGTGGCTCGCACGGCTGTGTTGTCTAACGTTGAACTGGCCTACCGTGTGATGGACCAAGACGTCAAGGTATATATATATATAGTGTGCTTCAAATTATATATATATATATATATATAGTGTGCTTCAAGGTATATATATATATATAGTGTGCTTCAAGGTATATATATATGTATAGTGTGCTTCAAGGTATATATATATGTATAGTGTGCTTCAAGGTATATATATATATATACCTTGAATGAACGTTTGGATTGGCAGAAATTATTCGACAGATCGTGATTTGATTGGCTTTGGCGATTGGTCTTGAATCCATTCTCTAAAGACAGCCCATTCTGTGGAGGGCTCCAGTTTCGAATCGATTTGACATTATATATAAGGGATAGATAGCATGATACGATCAGGTATAATATTGGAATATAATGACTATGCTTGACATAGATATATATATAATTCGACGGATTCTTATGGTGATATATACCGTGGATATATATGGGTAGCATGTGCATGGGTTTTTCATGAAATTCATATATATGGGTAGCATGTGCATGGGTTTTTCATGAAATTCATATATATGGGTAGCATGTGCATGGGTTTTTCATGAAATTCGAGTCGGAATTGCGCCGAAGTGGCCTGCGTACAGCCGACGACTTGACCAAACACTTGGAGCCGATGAGTATGCTCGGTGCACTGGTGAGTCGCAGAATGACATTGGACGACCTCGCGCGCGACTTGTACGACCTCGACCAACAAGGTAGTACAACCAACACATGTCGTTTGTATGTGGTACAAATCATCCATATCCACCAGCCATCCTTGTACTATCGGCCAAATATAAGAATCCTATTATTACGAGCTGACAAATAGTGTGCGACAGATATATATGGATGTCATACTTCGATGTATTTTTTGCCAAAAACTTCACTAATAATTGCATTGTTTTGCCCACGATGGAATGTCCATTGTATATTTTTGGATACACAGTCCAGCACACCGTTTCCAACGATATCATAATCGTCGACACATTAAGTTACTCCAATTTAACCTTGTAAAAAGTATAGTATACAAAGATAAGTGTACATACCGTAATTAGGCTTTGCCCAATAATGCCGAGGGACTGGGCCGAGTTAAACGTATGGATTGGCAGAATATATTTACCAGAACGTGCTTTGATTGGCTTAGACAATTCTTGAATCCATTCTCGAAAGATATTGGGCGAGACCTCGAGTGATTTCGAATCGATGTGACAATATATATATATGAGCTTACGATTGTGTGAAAAGTAGTACATATTGTTTGTCGGATGTTGGTTGTTTGATTTGCAAGTGTTGTGTGGCCAGGATTGATGGATGACGCCAGTGTGAAACGCTCCAAGTTGCTCAAAGATCTGATGGTGGCCACGAAACGCCTCGTGCCTGCATTGTCGTCGTCGTCGCAGGGAACGATGTCACAGGGCGGCAAGGCCACCACCACGAAACAGACGAAGCCGAAGAAAGCCACGTTCTTCAAGAAAGCCAAAGACAAGGCAGACGACAAGGCACAACCCATCACGACGACGACGGACGTCGCCGCCACTGGCGACTTTGAAGTGAAAACCACGAGCTTGGATGCATTTTTAAGCCATTAAACTAATATACTGTGCTACGTTTACCGCGACGACGAATGGTCTGGGAGAAATCAAATCATCCTCTTGTAATAAACTGGACGAGGTAGGTACTGTAGGCTTTGTTTGGTCGATAGAACGTTAGTTTTGAACACTAGATGGGGTGTAGACCTGTTGTAGGTGATTATCGAAAGGCGATGGTAATATATTTCAAGACAGACATGAGGGAGGAGGCAGGTGCTTCGAAACGTTGACTAGAGTGTTTCTGTCGTATGAACGCCCCGAAATCTTAGTGTGAGCGTGTTCAGGTCGCAATAATAATTGGGTGAATACAGATTCGATTTGGGCCGGGATTTTAAGCTCCTTCAATAACAATGTATGACATACAACTTGCATATGATTTCAAAACATGGGCATATCTCCGTCCTGCTTGATCATTGTCGAATTCTACGTAGTCCTAAAGGTAGAGAATTCCCTGGTGAACAACCCATAATTACCGTTCTTATGCCCTTGGACAAGGCTTGGAGTCGTTGGAAACCGTTATAGACGCGGAATCTCGATAATTTTGAGTGCCAATTTAAGTCGTATATGTTAACCTTTCTTTTTGGATGTAATTGTGAATAGAAATTCAAAGGTTCACTGTATCATTGGTGCATATTCAAATAACGATCTAGGATTGGTGCATTTTCGTACGACCTAAATTGGCACATACGTCATAAATTGCCACTTTACAGGATACAAATTTAAATATGGAATTGAACTAAACCAATCGATGATTGGTTTAAATTTCTCGATAGTGCCGTTGGATTGGCTAATATAAATTTGCCGAGTTCATTCAATACGTTGGGTCCAAATCTTCTAAAAGTTATAGTGTCTACGGCTAGTGCACTATTCTACAACCTGACATAACGTTTCCATGTACAACCGCGACTGCACTTCTCGCGCCGTGAATTCCATGAAATGTAATACCAGTAGTATATTATAAATAATACTCCGGAGTATTGTGGATTCGGTACGAATTTCCAGACCCCGTCGAATCGAATCTCGCCGCCTAATCGAATCACGAATCGACGCTATTGGCTAATCCATTTTTTAGTGGATTTTATTGGATCTGACAGTAAGGACAAGTATAGTCAGCCAATCAGAACTTCCAGCGTGATTCAATATTGATGCGAATTTCGGAAGTATATAGCGAATTTACAATAATACTTCAAGTAATATTCTTCTTGTTGCAAAGAGCTCCAGGCGAATCCGGATCTTCGTATCCGGATACCGATAGATTTGACTTTTGAAAATCACATCGTCATGGTTGTGGCCGCGGGAATGTTTGCCGTGTCGAGCCGTCCGACGGTGCCCCTGGCGCTTCAAACTGTCGTCCTTCAAGTATCCGCGTGTCCACATCACCTTGAGTTGCGCCCCTCGTGACTATTCAATCGTAGGCTGTCGAACGGGGAGCGAAAGCAGCCAAGACGCTCAAGGAGTTGGCGACCGTCGTGCAAGCCGACTTGGACGACAAGCAAGGCCGTGGCTGGCACGTGGTTGCAGGCAAAGACTTTGCCGTGGACATCCGCTACGTGCGTTCGATTACTCTTTGCATGAATCTTCACTGATAGAGTTGCAATAGCGCAAAGGATGCTGTGCCGTGGTGCACAACGCAACTGCCAGGATCAAACTCGTCGTGTACCGTACGACGGTGGCAACGACGGCTCCGCCTGCGGCAGGATCCATCGTCCTCCCCTCCGCCGTCGCGACCACCGACTCCATGTACGGCCCTCCCCTAACTACACCGCCGATCATCGAGTGACGGTTGTGTCCAAGTAGCAAGGAGACGGTGATGGAGTCCGACATGCTAGCTCCGTTTCAATCAGAAGTGCTTTCCGTGTGTCAACGTCTGGCCGCCACGCCTGACGACTCGGATGTCCTCTGCAGTACGCTCAAGGTAAGCCAGGGAATGGAAAACAATATATATATATATATATATATATATTAAAATTTGACCGGAATGTAAACAATATGAAATCTTTTGTACTGTACGTAGTATGGCATGGGTGGGTGGGTGCATTAAATATATTTCATTGTCTATTTGTTATGTTTTTTAAATGTACACTTATAGTTTGATACACAAGAAAAGATATACTATTGTGCTTTCGAGTGAAATTTCGTGTTGTGGCGTGGTTTCTCGTTGGAATTTAAATCGATTTGATTGGCTACTTCAAAAGAGCTCAAAATGATTAGCCAATCAGAACCTTCTCTATGAAATTCAACCAATCAGATCATCGATTGTGGATCGTTTTGGTCGGCGCGATTCGATTGCACCCCCTCCCCAAATTTGTACTATCAAATCGACAATATTGTTGACGCAATTCATTTTTCGATCTCGAGACAATCAAAACTATTGTTGTACTTGTCCAGCAGCACCTTTCAATCCATTCTTTTGTGTAATATTGTGAATTCGCTATAAACTCCCAAAATTCGCCTGGTTTGACGAATCAATAGTGAATCACGCTGGGAGATTTCTGATTGGTTGACTATACTTGTCCTTCCTGTAAGAGCCAATCAAATCCACTCAAACTTGGATTAGCCAATCGCGTCGATTCGTGATTCGATTCGACGGAAATATGTGCTGAATCCACAACATGTCATATTCAATTGTTTGATCGCCCATTATGTTTTCCCATACCCTGGTTATAATGCCAGTCAATTGGAACCCTCGTTTATGTGCGTAGAATTGGCTGACGCAACAATATGGCCATACGTGGCACGTTGTCGTGTCGACGGGGTCGCGGGACTTGGTGGGCGCGGTGCATGCCAACCCTGGCACGCTCTTGGACGTGGTGTTCGCCAAATCGCTTTCAACCGTGTCGCAGACGAAAAAAACCCCACAGCATCAGCAGCACGTTCGATTTCTCGTGTATCAGCACGGCGGCTTTGAAGCGTCACTGGACCTCATCACACTTCTCCATCGGGTGTGCTTGGTGCTGGCGGCCATGGCGGGCGCACTCTTCCTCTTCTACCGTCTGTCGTACCGTCCAGAATGCATCGAGAACGACACAACCTGCACCGACAGCGACCATGCCAAAGCCATTGCTGGCGACTTTGGCCAATTTGTGGCTACCATTGTCGTTGTTGTGCTGATTGGAACCGCGTCTCTTTTGCGTGTGAGCCGCAACGCCATCCGTCAAAAGGTCAAGCACGTGTAAAGAACCCAGTGGAATTTGGTTTTTCACCCGATTTATTGTTGTCCAATTCAAAGAGGATTATCAAAAAATAAAGATATTACCATGGTGGGTTTTGGCTATGGGTTCCCTCAATTCAATAAGCGGTCACATGTACCATACCATCTTAATAGATTGGATCAGTAGTACTACGTAGTACTAGTAGTAAGTATTAATAGTACGACGTAGTATATGTAGGATGGATACTTCGAAGTCTATACTATCTTCAAAGACAAATCCACGATGAAAACCCATGATTTCGTCTATTTTGCTATAAAATCAACATAAATAGAAGGACGGAAAAAGATATATATATATTTATTTATAATACACACCGGAGTAACTGTTAGTCTCATTCTCGAATCAGAACGAATAATGATAAAATATTGAAAAAGCAAAACAATCCTTTTTTTTTAAAGTTCATTAGGTTTACGTAGAATCTTAGAATATTACTATTAATACCTTGTAGTACTAGTCCTACGAACTGATTACATAATGATTATTACCCTGCGTTCATGCGGATCAACATTGTAATTATTCGGTGTTGGAAGCGGTGGGTGTTCATCTATACTACTTAGTACACCTCTCCATGCCACCTAGATACTAGTAATAATAGTTCATGTAAACGTCAAGTCGGGTTAGTGAAGCACAGGATGGCAATAATAATTTACACAGTTAATTTACATACACACACGTGCGATCTATCTAGCGTACGACTCCTGTCGTTACAGACTGTACATGCTCACTCGAAAGCACAGCAGCGCCACCACAGCCGCGACCAGACTCAAGAGCCCGCCAACGAGAATCGGCAGTGCATACCCCATCGGCGACGTGACGAGGGCTGCAGCTAGGACATAATTCAGCAGCTGGCCGGTGCACAGGGCGCTGTTGAGGGCGCCGTTGATGAGCCCGAGCGAATTGTCTGGGCCATGGCCCACGACATGAATGATGAGCGGCACAATGAGCAGATTCATGGTGGCCTGTGTGATGCTGCAGCTCACAGCTATCGCCACGTTCACGGCTGTGTGCTTGGAGTACGCCATGACCACATACAGCCCCTGGGGCAATAAGCTCATAGTGACCACTCGTTTGGCCCCGAAACGGTGTACTAGCGTCGGCAGCAGCAGCACGTACAAGAACGCGAGCACTTGGAGCGTGTCGGTGAGTCCTGCGACGCGGACGCCGTCGTTAAATGCGGCTTGACGAGGGGAACACGAAGGCCGGCACAAATCTGCGCCGTTCGGGTCGCCGCCGTTGACGACCAGGCCAAAGAATTGGCCTTTTGCGCCGTTGTACGAGGTAAAGCCATATGTCGACAGCAGGATGAGCACAAAGTACACCCCCAGGGGCGACGGAAGCTGTCGAATGCCAGCGATGACTGCGGTCACAGCAATCTTGACGTGATGGCCTGTGTTGGACCGCCAAATGTAAACGTATGGCTTTTCAACGACAAACCAACACGTGGCTCCACAGGTGACCCCCAGGAGACCGATCAATATGGACAAAAACGTTTTTAAGCTCTGGTGGGCCGGGCCAAATGCGGCAATGTACACGGCCGTGACGAGCAACCCCCCCGATGACAACACACCTGTGACCACGGAGCCCGTGACTTGGCGGTCGCCCACGACGTCAGCCATGAGCAGTGTCACAGGCACCATGGCAATGTTGAGCGTAATGTCTGTCCAGATGTAACACAAGATGACAATGCCTGTCATGGTCGGCCGACTTGTGGCGGTGTCGCCAAAGTACGTGCCAATATCGGCGGCAAACATGAGCAAAACGTAGGCGAGAATGCTGGTGACGGCGCCCCAAAAGAGAAACGGCCGTCGGCGGCCGTACGGATGGAGGCAGTTGTCACTGAGCACGCCCAAGGTAGGTACCACGAGGAGCCCGCACAGAGGCCCGGCGATTTGAATGAGCTGCACGACGGAAGACGAGACCAAGATCTCCAACAACGGGCCAAGCACAGCCCATTGCGCCGCCCAGCCCATCATGATGGGCAAACGGGGGAGGGCCACGAGAAGCATGTAAGGGATCGAGCAGCCATGTACTTTAGGGCGACATAGGTCGTCGTCGTTGCTGCTGGAGCCGCCGTCGAGGGATGCTTCGAGCACGGGTGGCATGTCCAAAATCTCGTGATGGATGGTGGATGATGTCATGGTCAAGTGCGGGGTCGAGTCTCGACTTGGCATCGTAGTGCTAATCGACCTGTTTGTTGGGTTGTGTGGTGCCATCAATCTGCGACCGAGAAGAAGATGTAAGAGGGAAGCTACTTGTGTACTACTACGTAGTACTTACTATCAATGGAGGCGTTGCTTGTGTGTGTGCGATGAATGAATGCAGGTGAGGGGGTGGGATTTGTAGTTTTCCGTGGGTGATAGTACGACGAAAGGCTGCATCACGTGATGGGATGGATGTACGTACCGGTAGGTACATCGTGGTGGCACCATAGGGGAATTTGGAGGATCCAACGACGAATATATAGAGTGCCGAAAGGGTGGGAATGACCTTGCACTAACGTTACTATGGAATATGCATTGCACCCGAGCCTCGGCCGCGCCGGAGACGGGACTCGTTCAACCGATTTCAAGAATTCCACTAAGCTTACAGTAGTACTACTACTATGTAAAGCCTCTGCGACATGTCCAAGTAATACTAGTTCAAGTGATTATGTGAGTACAGTGCGTACTACTTCCCCAAACCGGTCATTTTATAGTACCACACAGTTCAAGATTCACTTGGACTTTGTATGCAACATTTCAGTGAACCTCGCATAATAATCGTCCATGCCCAACTACTACTACGTAGTAGTACTATTAAAATGTTAACGTAATAGTATCAAGTGTCATGCAGGCACAATTTTGCGTCAGCACTGTACATAAAAACGTGCTTGGAGTATCGCTGAGAGTCAAGTATGCACAACACAACATAAGCGCTACTACTATGTATAGTACTTCTAAGTACACTGTACTACTAGTATACGCGTAGTCAGTAAGTTTACCCTTGCTTAATACATGGGCGATCCTTGGCCTCATCGTAATGTTATATATCCTAGCGGGTTAACACGAATGCACCTCGGTACTAGTACATACCAAGTGGTCACCCAAGTGGTCGTGACTCACCTGGCTTGTCGCCGTGGGCAAGGTCCGAACGAGTACTGTAGGTTACTCTTGAAAAGAAGTGAATTCACCAAACCCCATACAGCACCGTTAAATAGTTTTACACTTTTGAAGTTTGTGAAGTTTGCGACCGTCGCCCTCAGGGCGTACCAAAATTTCATTGCCCCTAACGCTGACCACACAATCGTACATATGAAAAGTAGGCACCCAAGCCCTTACGACGTCCCCTGCACCCTGACGTACGTACGTTGCTGTACGCTGTCAGTCTGCAACTCAAACTCACATTTTACCAAGCCCTAGCGTCATCCTTTAGCAAGTTAACCCCCCCACTAGGATGGACGATATATAAGAACAATCCAGTTGTTGCCAGCGAGGCATATACTACGAAGTATACAACACTGTATTTACACTGGCGTACACATGCTCTTGTATAGGTAACTAGTTGTTCGCGATCACCAATATAGTGTTTTGTGATTCCTCTCGAACGCTAGAGTACTTCAAGGACAGTGCAGCGAAGGTTGTTCACGAGCCCAGGGAACAGGGGTCATCAGGGCGCTTAACACAACAGTACTGAATTCCCTCGGGACAACAATATGCCCCCGTTCCCCGAAGAAACCCCGTGGCTAAGCCTTTACGGGAAACAACATGGCCGAAATCCCGTCGAGCTTGTAGCGTCAAGTTTGAACTTGAGCTCCACTCCCGTGCTATTGTTTGTCGATTCCACGTTGTGATTCTGGACGACACACTTGTACTGCAAACACGACTTTGACTTTCGTAGGTTGCTAGAGTTTGGGAGACTTAAGGTGCTCTGTATGGGTCATGCATGGAGGGGGGGGGTTGGCCTGCTCCCTCACCTTGGTGATTGCGACGCGCTTGGCTTCAAGTGGCCTTGAGTCCTCTTATGCTGTTATTCTAACCACGATTGCTTTCACGTTTGTTTGTGCATAGTGCTGTACAATCCACAGCAATCAATGGTAGTGCTCCCATTTAAGTTTGACATGCCTACCATTGCTGGTACGTCTTCCAGGTCGAGTAGTGATCGTTGTTGCTTCGGTCATTCTTCTTCACTTTTTTCGGTGAGGCATCATCGGTATCTGAGAGTTCCAGGGTTGAGGCTTTCATGTAGTCATGCTAATTACGCTCACTACCAGTACTGGTATCTTGATAGACACACAACAAGATCTACTCGGAGTATAGGGTATGTATGGCCACCACCAACCTATCACTTTTTTCGGGCACAACGTTTACTAGTATTTTGAATTACTTCGAAGTAATATTTTTCAAGACAAGCCCGCTATATCTCGAGGCCTGTAGCTACTTGTGTAGGATCAGTCGATTTCACCGCATTCACAGTAGATCAACGTGAGAAGTTGCCGTCATCAAGGCAGCAAGCCTATTTATTGTACAATGTCACAGACGTGTAAATGATGTCGTCAGCAGTATACGAATCATCTACACTCCATCAAGGACACGTATATTGGTATTATTTATCCGCGCTATCAGAGTTTCAGGACGAATATCCCCACGGAGTATATCTCTACGCGTTGGGTATGTCGTTATCACTCGAGGATTCACTTGGTTTGTGAAACAATAAACTGAGCACACTGTCTGCCTCTGTGGCCTCGTCCACGTTGGCTTGGCTTAAGCTCCAGTGCATTTTCGCCCATTCTTGCCGCATGAGCTTGAACCTACCGTGACAAATATATACGAAAACACCATCAAAACACCATATATATATATTTGTGAACAGTACTTGGCGCCTTTCACGACATGCGCGACGTCGTAGTCCAACTCGAATGGATCTTCAATCATCAATCGTGCGTGGTACTTCCATTGTGGCTTTTCTGCCTTGAACAGCGGACTGTACATATGTACATCGAAAAATACACAAAAGGTCAGAATTAAAATATATTTTAATAGTCTTACGAGATCAAATAAGGAAGAGATGACGTACCGGGCCATCCGAATCGACACGACGTGCGTGGCGTAATCAAATGTCGAGTCAAAGTACCGAAACAAACCTACATATGGTTATACCAGTGATGCCATGATATATATATTGTTGTGTTTATTCTAAACTGAACGAATCGACACAACCAAATGTGCACAAGAATATTGGCAGTAATATTGAGCCAATCAGATTGCAGGAATCATCCGTTCACCCAACCAACAACCCATTCGTGAATGACTTCAATTAGTGTGATGGGCATCACGGACAAAATTCAGTACCATAAACAATCGATCGATGGATTTGGCAAATCAGCACCAAAGGCCAATTATTCGCTGAACGACAATACTCCTCCCAAGAATATATATATTAATATATATAGATAGAGGAATGGGCAAACAACCCCATTCTCGAACACGTACCGAGCCACAATTCCGCCAGGGATTGAGTGTTGGCCGCGCCAAACTGATGAAGCCATTGCCACTGGACGTCTTGCACAGGATCGAAAAAGTACGTTTCTACAACCACAAGGTTGATATTTAAGATTCTATTCACAAGTTGATATTTAAGATTCTATTGATAATATTGTATTTATATCATTCTACACTCGAGCGACATGGAGAATGATAGATTGAACCGAAGAATCGGAAGATGGATTTGGCCAATCAGATATTGCAGGAAATCAACCATCAACCTCGAATTCGTGTGTGACTTTAATTAGTGTGATACCAATTCCCATAGGACAACACACTTTAACAGCATTCAGTACACGAAAGAATCGATCGATAGAGTTGGCGAATCAGCACACAAAAGTCCAAATGTCGGGTAAAAGACAATAATATATTTGATGATTCATGCATTGGAGTTCTATAAGCGTACCGTGCCCTTGAAACTTTACCGATGGCAGCCCGGGGGTGTCGTCCATCCGTTCACTCAATGCACACGCAGGACTGCGAAAGCGGCACCCCTCCACCCCCCCTCGCAAACACCCACATCGGATTTCCCCTACACAGTGTCATATCCGTTTCAATTTGGACATTTTTTGAATGGATTTGTAATTTAGAATATCCTAGCCAATATATCAAAGTGCACGATCGAGAAATGCAAACCAATCAGCGAGCAATATAGTCAAAGTCCCAATATAAATGTGTATATACCATGCTTTGAAGAAGCTACGAATATAATGGTGCCAAGTCCAATTATATTGTATGACGTCGCCAATTTCAATCCCTAAGGCGACTCTATTTATTTCAGCCACTCGTGGATCAGTATAGTTGGACCGACCCCGTAGTTAAAATACTCGTCTGAAAATTAGTATACCATACATTGCATCAGCTTAGAAATCAGTCTCGAATCAACTACATAGTCCAAATTTCAGCGAAACGACAATATGTACGTACATATGCAGCCATAGATATCAGATATTGGTGCTACATAATTTGATTTGTTTTTGATCCTTTGATAAAGAAGTAGGCTAGTCATCTCGTGGTAAACAGAAGGGAGGGGCAGAATCGAAGATATAAACATATCAAGTCGAATTAGAGTATATCGATCTCAGTACCTTGCCATGCGGGCGACAATGTTTGCAAAACTGGAATCACCGGCGGTTCCGTGCGCTACAGACAACCATTTGGACGTTAACCGAGGTATATATGTATAGATGGGAGAATGGCGAATCCGAAGGGTATTATTGTCTTTCTTTCAGCTAAAAGTTGGACTTTTGTGCTGATTGGCCAAATCCATACCGATAATCGATTGATTGAAATATTTTGTATGTACAAAAAGGTCAGCGGAAATCCCCATCACACTAATTGAACTCACACACGAATTAGCTGTGGATTGGTTGAACAGATGATTTTCTACAATCTGATTGGCTAAATTCTCCTGTATGTTATTACGTCGACACATTCGGCAAGTTGCTCCAGTTTCAAATATAAACACAACAATATACAAAGTATGCATTGTGCTTTTCGCCCACATTTGCCAAACTTGATTGATGAAATCACGCAGAAATCGCAGAGCAAAGCAGTATGATTGGATCAAAAGAATTTTTTTGGCCAAAACCATAGAATGTTCCCAAATCGACCCCCCCTTATACTTATATATATATATATATATAATATTTCGCAGGTTCGGCGAGTCTTAGGCAGTTCATTCAAACAATCTGTTTACCTGCAAATAATGCAACAACATGATGATGTAGCCGTAGGAGCTCAGCGTGCCGTCGGCGGCATTGTTGATACCCCGCTGCTTGACCCAATGCTTGAGAAGGTACGCCAGTTGGCGCACACGTGGGTCTATTCAGGTGGGTATCCTTTTAAATGAAATAAATGAAGTAAATGATTCAGAGCACCTGCCAACGCATACGTGCGCAAGAGTCGCGTGTTGCGCAACGCAAGCGCGTTTTCCACTAATACAACAAACGATCATTTATTTCCTCTTGTGATAAATGAAGTTTCATCTAAAAGCCGTGACCATACCGCACACGTCGCATTCAATCGTGGACGGGATGTCGCGAAACATGACGATTGGAATGCGTGCGGTCAGTCGAGCCGTGTCTACACATAAATATTTATATATATATATATATATATATTCCACCACGACGTACCTAAATTGTCGAATTGATCTGGGGGCAGCCGCGCGACGAGCAGCTGCAACAAGCGTTGCTTGATCTTGGGGTCTTGTACGGGCGGTTGCACCACCTACCAAGGTCGTACAATATACCCTTTTAAGATCGTACAATCTATAGATTCGACTACGCTAGCATGAAATAGAACAAAATACGATGAGTTCAACCTAGGGCACGCATGACATGCCAAATGCATGATGGTGTTTTAAATGCATGTCACAGTAGTAGTCAGTATTATGCGACATCCAAGACACTTGGATAATACTTGTGGATATATTTTTGTGTGGCTATTTGTAGATATATTTTCTTTTGTTGATATGTTTTCGATCAACGTACCAGGCACATGTCCATGTCACTCGCCATGGACCCGAAAAAGTTGTTGGACGACCCAAACACGTCCAGAGCCACCTTCCAAAGAGACTATTAATATATATATATATCGTATCCATAAAATAATATATCTATTTGTATATATATCGTATTCATAGATACATATCGTGATATATACAAGATATGCCACTTCCCAAACACCGTATAATATATATATATAACGTATTCATAAATATGCATGGCGATATATATATATATAGTTGAATGTGCATTCAAAAGTGGCAACATGTACACATCTGGTGCCAGTCGTAGTAGTTCCACAATCCGTACACGATTGTTTATACAATATGACAGGGTTATTAATAGGTACCGTCGTGTTGGGGGGCGTGGGAATTGTGTGGACGACAGCGCTCACACGTTCGTAAATCGCCTGGCGGGTGGCTGAAAACGAGGCCAAATCTGGCATCAGCTGTTGACACGTGGCGGCCATCCATTGGTTGGCGGCGTCCAGAAGTGGCGGCCACCACGCCGACACGGGCGTTTCTACCATAGAACCATCCAGTGAAGTTTGTTTATAAACAACTATAACGACAAATGTCCCCATTCTGCGCGATATATGTCGTAAAACGGGTTCCAAATCTCGCCGCGAAATGTGATTGGCTTTCACGAAGGAGCACGAAGTACACACAAAGCATAGTGAAGCCAATCAGCGACAAGCATTTTCAGATGGACCAATCGGAACGATTCGAGATCGGTTTGGTCGATTGGACGGGGTTATGAAATTCGTACCCAATCAATATTACAACCAAATACAAGAATGCCAACACATGCCAACCCCGTCCAAATTCAATGGGTGATGTTTGTTGTTGTCCATACAAGCAAAAACTACTTTGGAGTTGTGCCCGTGGGGAAGCCCTTCACACTATTTGAAGTTCCCCCCACATATTTTCGATTTGGATTGGCCATTTGAATCGTGCACTGGATTGTGATTGGCCAATCAATTCTCCACATATTTGACAATATCATACCAAACGGACTAGGAATAGCAGTATATATATATATATACATGCTCGATCACACACTCCTCCATCGTTGGAGCTGCTGTCATGGACTGTAAATACAAAATGCCACAACTCACTTATTACACCATATTAAATGGCGTACATGGTATGTGTTGTATACCATATACCCCATATAACCCAACGCCACTGACACACCACGTATCCAGGTACGACATATACACGACCAAAGGACAGTATGACCATCTCAAGATATGATCTACGGCATACCTTGGGGTCGGACGCCCAAATGCACAGACCAATAGTCTTGTTTGGAGGCAAACGATGAAAAGTATCGATCAAAGACCTACAAAACAGCGTCAATATATTGCCAATACAGACAACGCTAAAGTAAAAAACACATTGGCATGTGACAGAGTGTATGGGATGCTGGACCGACCCCGCAGTATTCATGTCGTTGAGCAAAATCAATCGCTTGATGCGTCGTCGGCGACACGATGTCCCACACATGCCCTACAAAAGATATATATCCAACGATGATTATATATATATATATATATATATTATTGATTCAAATTATGTCCCTTACGATTTGCTTCCACGGTGTGGAAAAAAGACCGCAGTGCGCCATGCACACTGCTCTCGGCGTCGTCGGCCTTGTCGTGCCACCTATCGGAAACGATAAATAAAACACGGAAAAGACGCATCATTGCCATATATATCAAACTTCATATGGGAAACGGGGTTCCACGTTGTACATGTCAAACTTCATATGGGATACGGGATCCCTAACTTGTATATATATCAAACTTCATATGGGATACAGCGTACTCGTCCATGTCCCATCGCAATTCCAAGAGCCGAGTCAAGAGGCCACTGAGCCGGCTTCCGTGGGTCGGATACAGCGTTGGTACGGCTTCGAGTACCTGTATGCACAAATATATATATATATATGATTAGTACGTTGAATCATAAAACAAGATATTCGCACAATATATATATATATATATATATATATATATATATAGTACGAACCCTGGCGTACGCCATGATGGCCGACACAACGACCTGAATGTCTTGCGAGGTGGCGGCGTGGTCCAGTTTCGTGTCCAGTGTCGTAGAGCTTTCTTCAAAGTACCTACACATCCAGACATACACAATCCAACGATTAAACCAACTTGAACGCCATCGAAACACGAGTTGAAAGGAGAGTATCACGCACGGGAGGTCTACGAGGACGGCCAGCGGCATCGACGGCAGCACAAGCGCGTCCGGGGATAGTTCGTCGAAGACGCGGAATTCAAACTCGCCGATGGTTTTGGGCGCGCGGACTTGGATGCGGGTGGCCGTCGTGCCTTGGAAATGGAGCGATCGGAGGAAGATGGGCCGCGATTGGTCTTTGAGACTCGCACGGAAGAGGCCGAGGACGAGGGTGCGGGGATGAGGTGAGGCCGGCAATTGTACTGCAATCTTCACCGACTGGTTCGGAAACGTCCGAGAAGGATGGACTTGGATGCCACCTGCGCGAGAAACAGCGGGAGCCGCGGGTGGTGCCGTGCGGCCGCCTTGTTGCAAGTGCTGGCCCAAGGAACGTTACCAAAAGGCAAGGTTGATAGGGTCGGGTGGGGTACCTGCAGAAGGGCCGCACCGCCCGACAACGGAGCTGCCGCGTTGGATGCAGGGTTTGCCTGGGACAGCTGGATAGATTCAAGCGACTTCTCCAAGTCTGACAACTTGGTCGTCACGCCATCGCCTGCCCGGCGAGGCGGCGTTGCGTTGCCACGATGCATTTCACTTGGAGATTGTGGTGTCCCATGTGCAATTAAAATATTTCTACGATTATATAAATTTATATAAAAGCAATTGAAGTGTACCGTGTATTGTATGGGATGTGTGAATAATATTAAAACTATATAAAAGCAGTGGAAATGATCCTGAATTATATTATCTGTCACCCAGTATATTAAAAACATTCAATACCTCAGTACTTACTTATCACGAATATTTCTCCAATATTGTTGAAATTCGCCAAACAATTGAACCTTGTGGTGTTAATTTTCCGTAAAACTTGTAAGCAAGGGAGTTTATGAATATTATTATTAGAGCAGCTCCTTCAATACAGTACTCCATAGTATTATATATAATAGTATTAATACACGTAATATTAATACAGTAAATCCTATCAATCGTTTTGATGTAAAGCTTAATTCCGGTTGGTGAACCTGTACATGAAATGCGACTTTGGACGACGCTGGTAGTTGTGGCTGCGCTGTCAACGTCGTCAGCTTGGGCCTCTCAGAGAGCCCACCGTGGGCATGTCGACCCATCAACCATCATGACGGCGACCAACGCCCGCAACACGATGGGGTGGTGGTCCACCACGTTTGGATGCGCCGATGACTGCAACGTCTCCAACACATGCGCGAGCGACGTGCTGTACCGGTCTGTTGTGGACAATCTTGTCTCGGGTGGGTACGTCCAAGCAGGGTACACTTGGCTATACGTCGAGGACTGCTGGGCGCAACGCTCCCGCGACACATTTGGCCGGCTTGTGCCAGATCCCCACCTCTTTCCCGGTACGCTACACCCATCGATCACTTCATTCATTGCCCACGGTGAATATCATCATCTCCATTACTAGACGGGATAGTCGGTCTCACCGCGTACGCACATGCCCATGGCATGCAAGTGGCCGTGTCCGTCGACCTCGGCAGCCAAACTTGCGCAGGTGTGGTCTCGTATAGCCTTCTCATTTCCTATGGACTGCACTTTGGTTTTCCACGATGGCCATCACCAACTCCACATGCTTTGTTCGTAGGGCTTCCTGGTTCTTTGGGCCATTATGACTTGGACATTCTAACGTTAGCCGGTTGGAGCGTCGATCGCATCCTCGTGACCACTTGCTCAGTGGCGCCCACATCAAACACCGACACGTCATTGTCGTTGTACGCTCTCCTGTCTGCGTTCACATCCCTAGCATGGTCAACCGCCCATTTGGCTTCGCATTGCGTACTTCCCAACGCCACCAACAGGACCCTCCTCCATGCCATCTCGCGCCATTGCCAGCATATTCAGCTCGACCCGCGCATCCAAGACGACTACACCGACGTCCAACGACACGTTGTGACGGCGCTGCATGAGCTCGACACCCAGCCGTTCTTTAACACGTCGTATGGCCCGGTCGTGGCTGGCGGGTTTGGCCTCACGGCTGGCCAGGCCCGGGTTCAACTATCAGCGTGGCTATTGCTGCAGTTCCCACTACTCCTGGCAGCCGACGTGCGCTCTCTACCGCTGGAAGCTCACGATTTGCTCGTGCATCCAACGTTTTTACACGTGTACAAGGCGATTAGCCAATCGAATGCATCAGCCAGTACCCGAAACCCCGTACGTGCACCTTGTCAATGTTGCTGCTTTGGTTGTACGAATGATATATATATATATATATATATATATATATATCGATAGTATTGTATATAGGTCCGTGTACCCAAAACGTGGGCGTTTATGTGGACTTTTGTCACCAATTCGATATCGATTCGTTTGTACTGAATTGTTGTATGTACGACGTGGTCCCGTGGTATCAATCGCTCTCCAGTGTATAATAAACACACAAGAATATCATATATACCAACAGTTGTATCCCGTGGTTTGGTTCAATATCGAATAGTGTACTGTACACCTAGCACTTAATATTGTGAAAATGAATTGTGCATGTCATGCGTCAATGCTGTTGTTGATTGCGCATTGTTTGACAAGCGAAAAACTGACGTTTTATTTGGACCAAGAGCTTGATTGGACGACTTATTGTTTTTTCTCACCATGACAAGCAATATATCATGCTATGAAATGATACAACTAGTAGTTAAGATTATCATTCTTTTGGCCAAAATTTGGTCTTTTGTGCTGATTCAGCAAATCCGTCGATCGGGTTTTTTGCACTTTTTTAAAATTTTGCATTAAAAAAATCAATTTTTTGCTTCCACTCATGTCAGTCACACACTATTAGATAGATATGGATGGGTTGATGATTTCCTGCAATCTGATGATTGGCTAAAAGTTCTTCTACGGGATTCTTCGTAACATCCTTTGGTTGTGTCGATTCATTCGTCGGTACATCGCTCCAGTTTGGAAGAAACACTACAATATCTTATTTTCTAAATACAAAGTATTAATATATATGGGAATGTAGACGCGATGGACCGGGAGCCAGGTGCCCCGTGGGGTGGATGTGTGGCTATGGCGGCTTGAAAATGCCGTCGTGCTGAGTGCGTCTCGTGTGAACAACCACCAAAGTCCTTATGTACCTGTGTCCTTTGACCTGTCCTGGCCTGATCTCGGCTTTAAATCGTCGGCAGTGTGCACCGTCACAAATGTGTGGGCGTCCGCTGCGCCGACGCATCAGAAGCACCGCGTTACGGTGACAGTGGCGCCGTTCGATGCCGCGCTCCTAGTCGTCCAGCCTGAAGACTGACAACTCCTAACGAGATCGAGGCATCGTAATAGTATACTACTAGTACTAGTACTGCGAGGGGTGGTGTCTAGTTACAGTAGGGATGATAATATATTGTTGTGTTTTATGTTCTCAAATCGACACAACCAAATAAAATGTGTAGACGAAACTAGCCGGAACTTCTTTTTTAAGTACTGTCGTTTTTCTTTAATTACTGTTAATGAAAGAGCTTTACAACCTATTAGCCTTCGGGTTGAGCCAATCCGATTGCAGGAAACATTGAATTCGTGTGGGACTTGAATTAGTGTGATTACAAGCACCCACAGGACAACTTGGTTTTTCGTACACAATTCACATGTCGTCAGTACAAAGAATCGATTGATCGATTGGCGAATATCAGCACACAAGTCCAAACTTAACTAAGCTTAATATAAAACGACAATCACGTTGTTCGGATAATTCGCCATGAATCGAAGCGAGGAGATGTTGGTGGTGGTGGTGGAGCTCGGTCTAACAGTATGGTGTGGATCTAACTACTGTATCATGTTCAATTCAGTTGGAAGTAAAGTGAATAGCAGCAGCTTTGACTGTGAATGCAGACGTATTTTCGTCGGGCTTGGATATACAGTGTACTTAGGCGTACGACACCAGTATGTACTGTACCAAGCATCAGGAAGTGCCCTTGAACATAACTAAAGTAATAATGTTGCTATGTTGTGCTTTTCACCCAAATTAGCCAAATTTGGGGGATCCTTCAAATCGCCACCGTAAATCGAGCAAAGCAGTATCATTGGCTAAAACGAATAAAGGTTGCAATAATAATGTGAATGGCTAAACAGACTTCAACTATCTTATTAGTGGTTTGTCGCGCGGTTCATTGTATCGTCTGGACGAATTTTTGGAGTAGACCGCACAGCACTACTGTACTGTACCCCACGTACTCTCTCCAACATCGAAACACGTGACCAATAATACTACTGGTGTAGTTCACAGTAAAGAATAATGTTATCAAGATGCAGCCGTGGAAGGCATCGAACTCGACTCGTAGGTATCAGATTATAATTCTACATACAATATGTTGTTACAAAAAGCCAGCATGGAGGTCAATTCGAGAGGTATGAATTCGATGAGAATTCACATTATTCCCACGATACTATCCGGAAATAGGTCAAACCAAGCGGGCCAATTTAACGTACTGTACCGTATAGTGTATATGCATTGCGACGGAATAATCTATTGCGACTCCTGTAATAACTGATATTTTTCTTGTAATAACTGATATTTACTTGTGTACATGTTGAATATACTTCAAATTTGTATGACGCAATGGATTAACAAAACTTTGAGAACGAGTGTCGGCTGGTTGTGAAATATCACCTGTCGCAATACATCTACACTATACGGTACACGCTTTCAAGCTTGATATTTGTATACCCATTTGCATGTGAGGTGAAAACCACCTGCCTTTCTAGGAATTGATTGGCTAGCTCCCGTGCGTCTTCACATGGATTTTGACGTTATGATTAGTAGTATTATAGTTGCAATCTCCTCCATATATGTCTCACATCAATGTGCACTTGTCTCCGCCAGTGGTTGAGCTACCCTGGCGGCGTCGTCCAGCTTGCTGTTGTGGGGCAGCAGCATTACCAGGTAGGTTCCGCAGTCGCTGCTCATTGAAAAATCGCTCCGCCTCCATTTGCATCTATATTCACACAACTGTTAAAAACCTTCCAATTGTATGGCCGTTCTCGTACCGCGAGCTCTTCGTCGGTGAGATTCAGCAGTGAACTGTCGTCTTCCGTGGTCGTTTGCACAGGCTGCACAGGCTGAGGGACCGCAGCAGTCGACCGTGGACTAGTATTACTACTACTCGCTTCTCGTGGAGAAGTGCGTTGGGTGGCGTTTGGGGCATGCTTTGGACTAGTATTCCTACTAGGAGTACTAGTTCCCGTCGCCTGTCGGGTGTCGGCGGCTGCATTGTCCTCTTCTTGTTGCAATTTCAACGCCAGTGCAAAATCATCCCTACAATCATCCCAATTTAAATTATACATGTGAACAATATGTATATATAATATATATATGCATCATCCGAACTGGTAATGCATACTCTAGTACAGTAGCAGTATTGTCAAGTTGATTCGAAAGTAGAGTGGGATGCTCGCTCCATTGAATGACCAGAAAAACCCAAATCGGTACACCATCGATCGACCAATCAAAACCCATACACATTAATCAAGTGGCCAATCAAATCCACTCTTGAACCCTTCCCCATCGAATGCATTCGTGTGCGACGGAGCTTAGTGTGGCATTTTCCCTTACATCTTCAAAATCCAGTACAGACAAACAATCGATCGATCGACGGATTGGGCAAATCAGCACATAAAAATAACCAAAAAATGGCTGGCTGCACGGTCAAGAAGTCTACATCTACTAAGTACATCACGTACGCCAACGTATTAGCTGTACTCGCCAGGGGGGAATTTGAAGGCACTGGGGGCGGCAGTGAAGCGGTTGATCGGGGAGATAACGGCGGCGGCGTCTTGAGACTTAGCAGTTCTTGTTGTTTGGTGTGGGCGCCCACCAACGGGACAAATGATTTCGTGTAATATTCGGAATTGCCATCAATCTATATTATTCCAAAAAATAATAATATTTCTTACAAGGTTCGAAAAGAGTAGTAACTTGCGTACGTACGTGCTCGAGTTTTTCCCAAATCACGTGGGGCTCGTCGTAATATCCAGTGTCCGTGACGAGTAAATACAGCGCTCCGTCATACTACAACCCCACCCACACATCAATCCATGAAATGGTTAGTCTATATAGGATCCGAGATAGAATCGAAGATTGCTTACGAAATAGGAAGATCTATATATATATATTGATCTTCCTATCTATATATATATATATATTGATCTTCCTATATATTGTCCAGTCGATTCGACTTTGGATTGCTCAATCGAATACACAGAAAAACACCAAAATTGACAAACACTCGATTGACCAATCAAAACCCACAACACGTTTCCAGTGACCAATCAAAACTCGCTCATTTTTGTAACCATCGAATCAATCGTGTTTGCGTTCAAATAGTGTTGCATGGAACGATTCACCCATTGTGTTTGCATATTGTCAATTCGTTTCGAAATTGGAGTGTTAATCAATCGAACGAGCAGACTAAACAAATCGACAGACAATCAATATATCGACCAATCAAAACCCACAATACGAATCAAGTGGCCAATCAAATTCACTCTTCAACCAATTCAACACTTAATATGTGACTGAAATTAGTGTTATACTACACGATCTTCACTGAATTATTCTTTGTCCTGACGTAAATCAGGACACAGCATAATTCAGTATTCGTAATAACTAAAACTCGATTTTTAGTACATGCATCCCAGCATATCACAAAACACACGATCCAAAATTGGCGAAAAAATCGGACAATATCGAAACGTACTTTGAAAATCGTCGAAAAGTGATTGTTGCGAAAAAACACGGCGAGTTCCCGCTCTTTCATGTCTTCGTGCAGCTGAATAAGGCCCACATACGTGAGCTGGCTAGCGCTGTCGGCAAGGAAGGCGTCAATGACTGGTCCTTCCGACGTGATTTGATCCACTTTTAACGCAGCGTCGTCCATCGATAGACTGCGCTCTTTCATCAAGATCGGAATCGACTGCGCCTTTGACTCGATGCTGTGGTAGTCGATCAGCCGGTCCACGACTTGATTGTACGATTTGTGTGCCTAATTTCGAATTGTAAGCAATACTGCTAAATTACATAACGTTACGAAGATATGTATATAGATATATATATATACACGGAAATACGCAAATACGCCGATAATTAAATCGACTACAGAGGATATTGTGTTTTTCAGTCGCATTTGCTCCTTTTACGGGATGATTGAAATCGCCACCGCATCGAGCAAAGCAGCAGTATGATTGGCTAAAAGAATAAAGTTCTAAATTTTATATAATATTTAAAAGGTCCTGTACACCAAACATCGTCCATAAAGACAACTCAATTGATGCAGAGGACAGCCCTGATCCATGCACTGGCAGCTAGGCTTGATGGTGGATATAAAATATCAGAGTGAGATATTCATATTATATATTTCAAATAACAATAATAAACCACATCATAAATTTTGGCCGAAAGCCCAATATCATCGTCCGTTTAATGTTGTTATAGAAAAATACTATAATATTCGTTCCAATTTGGACTTTTTCGAGTACAATCGAATGAATTTGACAAATGTAGTTCAGAATGTCGTCCTAGCCAATCAAAGTGCGCTGACGGGAAATTTGAACCAATCATCGATTAGTGTAGTTTGCGACCCAGTAGTAGTCAAAATGTTCATCTTCAACTGTGTAAACTTTACATTGACTAAGCTTAACATCATACTCAAAAATCGATTCTCGAATCTGCGGCCAACAAGTCCAAATAATTTGGGTCAAATGACAACATATACAACCTCGTAATCGTTATCATTAGCAGCACACACAGATGTACCAGGAGCGAATACGCGGCAGTGTCCTGGGGATCGACCACCCAGCCATGCACAAGTCGCATGTCCAACAGGTCGAAGATCGCACAAGCATTCGTGTACTCAAACGCGCCAATGTCATGGAACTGCACGTTCACATCCAACCCGACTTGGAGCGTTTGCACGAGCGCGACGACTTCGTCCAGCATGACACGCTCGGCCTAGAGACGATGTGCGATGGAAAGGTGGTGGAGGAGGGTATTCAAGCATATGAACACACACCATACCTCGTTCAAGTGAGGATTCGAGTGGACGAGCCGATTTTCCACGATGGACACGACGTCGCGCGCGAAAATGAAATTGGACGGCCCCATCACATGCAAATGCTCGTCGATGCTCACGTGGCCGCAAAGGAGGAGCACGTTGCAGATCGCGAGAAGAGGACACGGGCCGTTGATGTTCTGGCAAATGTACGACACGTCGCGCTGGAGAAACGACGTTTGCTTAACCCAGTAGAATAGGTCTTCCTTGGGCGCTCGTGGAGATCTCTTCGGCGAGGATGGCGGTGACGGCTTTGGCGATCCGGTCGAGCTGTCGATGGGGGTGCTGGTGGTACATGTGCTCGTCGTTACAGTTGCTGGCGGCGGTCTCCCTTCGGTCCCGACGACATGCTGATGTTGTTCCCCACTCATGTTGGTCAGGTCGTTGTTCTCAAGGATTTATAACGTAGTTTGGTGAACTGATTTATTTAGTGACCAATCAAATCGATGCACTGGGCCACGTCTGACCAATCAAAATCGATGTTGGACCCAAAACTCACACGGTTAAGTCGTCAGACCAGATCGACGAAGATGGGTTCTCCTATTAATAGTCGCTCATTTCGGATAAACATTATCCGGAGTCTTATTGCATTAACAGTAAAAGTACTGTATACTATTAATAGTATAAGTACTGTATTGGAGATTCGGTGTGAATTTCCTGGCCCCGTATCTCGCCGACGAATCGCCCATTGGTCGATCCGAAATTACGTGTTGCTGATTGGCTATAATCCATTTTTGATTTTCTATGGAACTGGAAAGTGTGAGTGGCTAATAGTGTGAACATTCTCTCCTTCAAATTAACGGTAATAGTGTGAGTGGTAATTCTATTAATAGTGTGATCATTTTCCATTGTCGTAAAATGGCGTATCCTGGCAAGTTGGCGAATGCGACCTCGTCGACGGGTGTGACGCACGAGTTGGAAGAGCTGCGCGTGGGAGTGTCGGAACTAGCCGAGTGCGTCGCGTGTCTGCTGCACACGATCCTGTTTACACGTGCGCCGGGGCCGGTGCGTCCCGCCGAGGCTCACTGCAGGTTTCGACCTATCACGTACGCGTACTGCCCCGTGGCCGAGGTTACGCGCAAGGTAGACGCAGCGATCGTCCAGTTTCAACGACACATGACTCGCCATCACAGCGGGGGCGGGCATCGCATCACGGTGATGTTCTTTGAAACGCGCGTTAACAAGGCGTTGTTCGGGTTAGTTCAGAACGAAGAAAAAGTGGTGTGGGAGAAGTGGACATTGCCCATCCGCGTCCTTGTCCATCCGAGTGCGAACCCCGACGAGTACCACATGCAGCTCGAGAGTCAACTGCGTCATGGCATGCTGCAGATCGTGTCCACCGTGCAAACCGACACCCAACACATCCCCATCGGCATCTACGACTACGAACTCCTCGTCAACGACGACGTGCTTTAGCCGCCGCGCATCATACATTCCATTAACCGCAACGAGTGTCCACTGAATATGGCTGTTGTTTTGCTTCTATTTCAGATTACCCCTATGATATATGAGGAGGGTTGCCCCCAATGCTTCCATGTCGATCCAGCAGGCGCGCCACTGTCAGTCCACAAGTGTGTTCGAGCGGCGGCGTCGCGCGGTCTCCCATCGCCGTTCGAAGCTACAAGGAAACGAGTGTTTCGTCAGTTGTTATAATAAATATAATAATAGTTATATTGTGGATTCACAGTCAATACGAATTTCCAGACCCCGTCGAATCGAATCTCACCGCCGAATCGAATCACGAATCGACGCTATTGGCTAATCCATTTTTAGTGGATTTGATTGGCTCTTGCAGAAACGAAAAAATATTCAACCAATCAGAACTCCGGCGTGATTCAATATGGACTACACAAACCAGGCGAATTTTGGAAGTTTATAGCGAATTCACAATATCATAAACTCAAGAATCACAGCAATACTATTATCCTGTAACGTTGACCCTAAGAGAACCAACCACAAGATGCAGTATATAAATATATGTATATGGATATATGCATTTCACAACGTGTAATTGCCATTAGGAACAACTTACGTATTTGATAATGAGCGGATGGGACGGCTGCACCGTGTGCACTTTCAAACTGGCCATTTCCGCCAACTGCAGCGGATTCATGTGTTTCTAATCGCAGGGACCATTCAAATCCTCGAGTACTTTTAACGTCATACTGAAGTGTCGTTATTGTATTTATGTACAGTACCATACATTGCATGCGATTTCCATGTTGGCTCCATTGGTCACCATGAGTCTGGTCAACTTGATGTGGCCGTAGAAGGCCGCGTAATGCAACGGCGTGAACCCTTCCAGCTACCAGTAATTATTATCACTACATTGTATCATATTTGGTTTACGTTTGTTTAATACAATTCAAGTAAAAAAATACGTCAAAACTAAAACCAAAAATATAACTCAAGACAACCATGTCATAACAGAATAACAAAGCATCACGTTGGTCTGGCTGCAAGAAAGCAGTAAGAACAGAAAAGCACAATGTAGTTCGTACTCGATCGTGTAAATCCATGGCCGCGCCCGCTTTGATCAACATCTCGGCCACGTCGTCGCTGCCGGTGCAACACGCCCAATGCAACGGCGTCCGGCCCAGCTACACACGGTAGCCGTCCTCCTCATGTGAGAGCTCCATCTAAGTAATGACCCACCTCGTTTCAAGCCCTTCTGGGTCAAGAAAGTGCTTCAAACGAGGTGTCATCATATTGTACGTTGTGTACATGGTCGGTTTCGTCGGGGCTTTGGCCTTGGCCGAGGCTCCACGCCATGGATTCCACGCTATTAGTCTTGGCGGCTTCGATGGTCAGCGCAAACGGATTCGGCGGTCGGGTGTCGCCGGTGGTGTCGGTGGCGGCGTCACACGCGACTTGACCAGCCGCGTGATACGCCATGTTCTTCGCTTTGAGCACTCTATAGCACATGGTAAAATAGACATGGAAAGAATACGTGAACACAGATTTATAAAGTCCCAGCAGAATACCCAAACGTGTAGCGGGGAACTGGCAACGTAATGGGGAAAATAGTACTATAACGTCGTAGAAATGTACCGATGGGCTCGGTGGGCGTCGTTGTGGTCGGTGTTGACTTGACTGCAAAACACCAAGCCTGGCAGGCACTACTTCCACCACCACATCGTACAGTGTCACATGGCCAAAACGAATATCCATGTCACATGAGAAATAGTCAAGAAAGCAGTAGTAGTAGTACAGTCATGCTTTGTTATGGCTACATATTGTATGCACGAGGGCACTTCGATTTGTTGTATTTGCAAGTGTGAAATCAAAAGGTAGAGTTGGTTGGCCCCAACTTACCAGTAGCACAAGTGCAAACAGTCCCACGGGCACGAGACCAACAATCAAGGCAGCGTTGGGACGAGGGGATGGACTAAACAAGTAGATACACAAGCACAATCCACTGGGCAGCCCCACACACGCGAGCTGGACGAGGCGACTACGCACGCAGCACAGCGCGCCCACAACGATCTGCTCTACACGCTCCTCGTTCGATTCCAAATCGGCCGACTAGCGCAATCCATGATAGTATATATGTATAAAAATCCCTGCAAAAGGTCAATGGAGCCAGAGCCAGTGTTGGGACAGCGGACGACGACCTACCTCCTGCGTCGACATCGAGGGACGATAGCGTCTAAAAATAGACTCAAAATCTGCACGATACTGTAACATTACATTGGTATTAACGCTGTAAATCCGACGTCTTTCGGCATTTCCACATTTCCATGGCGTGGTGTACATAGTAGTACTATTACTGTAGTATTCAACTTGCAGCCATCATTTCACGTGAGCATTCCAGGAGGGCCATCCCCGTTCCCGAGCCTTCCAATAAACTCGGTTTTCACCAAGTCCATCGTGTAAAACCTAAACTAGGTTTCACTATATATATCTTACGTTTCCAGCGTAATGTCAACCATCCATACCTATCTAGTTTATTATTTCCACTTTTCTATTTCAACGCAACATGTTTGGGTCGTTTTAAGGCCTGGTTACAACAGGCATAGACATTAGAATAGTATTACATATTCATAGTAGACGTTATTATGAAAGCCCAATTATTCGAATAGTTATTAATTTCCTTCGCTCTTGTCGTGCAGATGGGATACTGTATCTACATTATTGTACAAAAATCTATATAAAGTAGAACCATGGCACCTACTGTACCATCTCCTATCGCTCCACTAGAGCTTGTTATAATACCACAGACATGAGCAATTCCACCGTCGGTAATTCCACCACTCCTCCATCCACCTCCACGTAGCTTGATATTCTTGGACCTATATGTACAGTATATACATATATATATACCTTGGCATATTCTATTCAAGACACAATCGGGTGAAACACGCGCATTTCATCCCAAATGAGTTCCTGGAGCCGCCGCTTGGTCAGTTCTTCCGACTCAAACTCAAAGTCAAACGACGTGGACGCCACAGTCTCGTCTTCGACTGTCCGAATCGACGCAAAGTACGGATGGCCGAGGGCGGCTTCGACTTCGATGCGCTTGTGGGGGTCTACCACGAGCATGCGCTCAAGGAGGTTCATCGCGTCGGCGGAAATGTCGGGAAACAGCGCCGCCAGGGGCTTCAATGGCGCATGACCCTATCCATATACGTAGTGTTGTAGTCTTCGAAACTGGTATTGCTTGTGTTAATTGTAAACTGGAGCGAGTGACATGGAGACTTATAAATCGACACAACCAAATGTGCACACACAAGAATCATCGAGTCAATCAGACATTGCAGAAAACTATCAACAACGTCCAATTAGCATGTGATTTCAATTAGTGCGATACCAACCACCACCGAGGACACGTTTGAACATATATATACAAAATACAGTACAAAGAATCGATCGATAGATTTGGCGAATAATCATGAGCAAATAAAAAAGTCCAAAGTTTGGATACAAGGTCAATAGCGACATGGAGAATGAACCGACGACATAACCACATAAATGGACAGAAGAAGCATCACCATCGGCAGCAGAATTGATTGTAGGATGAAATCAATGATCAACAACTATTGTGCTTTCGAGTGACATTTCATTGTGTTGTGGTTTCTCGTTGGAATTTAAATCGATTTGATTGGCTACTTCAGAAGAGCTCAAAATTATTAGCCAATCAAAACCCATTTCTCAATGAAATTCAACCAATCAGATCGATTGCGGATCGATTTGGTCGGCGCAACGATACGATTGCACCTCCTCCCCAAATTTGTATCAAATCGACAATAATTAGTGTATGACTGCAATCAGTGTACTTGGTATCGACATGTCATTCGATACAAAAAGTGTCACGACAACAAGTTACCATCGATCGATAGATGCGGCGAATCCGCACATTAGTCGACTTTTTTGGGGTAAACGGACAATGTATATATGATGCATGCATGCATTATTCGATTTTTTCAAAGTTAGAGTGGGCAAGTCGTCCAATCCAATCGAGTACACTAGCGAACTAGTCAATGGGATATGGTTTCAAGCCAATCAACATTCCCATATACACTGTACTAGTAAGTTCAACGAGGTTGAAGATTTGCCCCGAGTCGGGGATTTTATAACCAATCTTTGTACAGTAGTAGTGTACATTATATGGTATTGGTTTCACGTCCATAGTGTCCAATACAGTCCAAAACATGGGTGAAAACGACAGACAATACCAAAAGTAGTACGTGGGGGGGGGTATAGATCCGACCCTTCTTTCGTGCTGGTTTATATGGACTACGTACCCGCGTGTGATACTCGGTGTTCATAAACTTGCGCGCGCGGGCATTTGTGACAAAGTACAGCTCGTCGTCGGACGGCACGCCCAGCGCGTTCATGATCAAATGCAGTTGGTCAATGTAATCTTGACCTGGGAATAACGGCTTGCGACTCAGCATTTCCGCGAATATGCACCCCAAACTCCATACATCCACGGTGCGCGTGTATTTCATGCACCCGAGCATAATCTCTGGAGCACGGTACCTATGCACAATTCCAATATATTGACATAGATTGAGTACGACTAGTATCGTTGGGTCGACCAACATTCCTGGAGAGATGATATCCACGTGTAAAAACTGATTTAATTTTTTTTAAAGCTTATTTGACAAAATTCTTTTATTCTTATATATTTATACAATTTAAAAAAATATGTTCAAAAATATTACGTTTATAATATTAAATAATCGAATTCGATAAAATATTCCTGAATATTTAACTTAAATCTTGATCATTTTGTCATAATGTACGAATGTGTCATCGAACCAAAGAAAAAGGAGGACAGCCACTAGATATGTGTAGAATCATAGCGTTCTCGTCCACCAAGTACATGTAAATGGTGTATGACAAAATTTAGTATGATGGAAAAAACAACATCGGCTAAATACAATGCAAAGGAAACAACACTCTCAATACTAACACTTGTGGATTTGGAATTTGGACAACTACGATTATTCAAGTCTCGATATTAGGCAGCACGAACAATACTGCATCCTGACAATATACATATATGCAATATATATAACAATTCTGCATCCTCACAATATATATATATATAACACTACTGTATCCTGACAATATATATATATATGAGTATTTAACAAGGATGTATCCCGACATTTACACTTCGAAGTATATATATATATATAACCACTCTGCAACCTGACAATCTATATATATATATATTTGTGGTACCATCGTGTGACAACGTATTCGGTCAATTCCAAGTTGTCGACCACCCCCCGAGCCAATCCAAAGTCGCAAACTTTGAGCTCGCAGTTGGCATTCACCAGGATATTCGACGGTTTGAGATCTCGATGGATCACGTTCGCGCTGTGAATGTACTTGAGAGCCTATATACCATACAAGTCTCGTATGTCAGTTATACGTCCTTGTATCAGCAAATCATATGTAAACATAAATCGTCTAGCATCGACAGAAAACAGTGTTCATACAGTACCATGAGCATTTGGTACAAGAAGAAGCAAATGTGTTCTTCACTCAACGGATGCCGCGAATAGATGACCCGATGCAAGTCCGTGGCCATACATTCCGACACAATGTACACATCGTCAAACGTGGCAATCTCCACAGGCTCCAAGATGTCGTCCACGCCCAGCAGGCACTTGTGTGTAAAGTGTCGCATCAGCTTGATCTCCCTATATATATATATATATATATATTGTCAAGTCAATGATTCGAAATTGGAGTGGGGTTCTCAATCGAATGAGCAGAATCACCAAATCGACTGACAATCGATTATCGACCAATCAAAACCCAGATCACGAATCAAGTAGCCAATCAAATTCACTCTTCGACCAATGCCACATCGAATCAGTGTGTTACTTCAATTAGTGTGACACTGGACGAATTTTATATACAAAAGTCAAAGAATCGATCGATAGATTTGGCAAAGTATCAGCACAAAAGTCCAAATCTTGGGTAAAAGGACAGTATATATATAATAATAGCCCATTACGATATCGTGAATTCGATTCGACATTCAAGGCAATCAATTGACCAATCAAAACGACAGAACACTGATATCAAGTGGCCAATCACTTCCACATCAAAGTAGTGTGTGCCTTGTATTCGGTGTGACACTGGTTTGCATACAAAATTCAGTACAAACGCATTCGATCGGTACGTACATATGGCGACTCGGCACAAAAAAAATCCACATTTTGGCTAGAGGGACAATATATATATATATAAATCCATCGACAGAAGACACAAGAAGCAAATGGTACAAAGATTGAACCAAACTAGCTTGCAGAGCAATCCATTCACATGTTAAAATCGACCGATCACCACGGAACGAATGGGTGTATGACGACCGAAATTAGTGTGATGGGCAGACAAGGCCATCTAAACTAATATATGGTTGTGTTTTATCAAAATAAAATTCATGGGACCTCGTATTTTAGTTTCTAAAACGTAGCTATGAATCGACACAATGAAATAATTGGACACAAAATCATCGGCAAAAGTATGGAGCTAATCAATATCCGATTGCACAAAACAACCATCTCATTCGTGTGTGTGACTTCAATTAGTGTGATTATTACGCATCCCCACAGGCAGCAGCAGCACACAAACGGGTCCAAGGTTTAGATGCCAAAAAAGGACAAGAATCCGAGAATATGTATAATAATTTATTAATAACTCATTCTAATTTAGATCAAAATCGAGTTGTAGAATTAATATTTGAAGTTTTTAACATAGATTTATTACAAAATAGAATTATAACAGATGAATTGATAGAAAATATGAAAAACACAAAGCGATAGCATGGACGTACCTGACAATGCGCTTGGCATCGGTGAGATCGTCAAATGCGCGCTGGATGTTCTTGATCGCGACCTGGCGGCCGTCCTTTTCCGCGGCAATTACGACGCCGTACGCCCCCGAGCCAATGGTCTTGACGTATGAGTAGTCGACGGGGATTTCAAATTTCGTGTTGGACACGGTAAAGCACTGGTACCCGGGTCGGGTGGATGGGAGGAACTTGGGCTTGTTAGCGTTGGCGGTCGCGGCCGCTTGGGCCTTCTTGGCCACGGTTTCCCGCTGCTTCTTGGCGGCTTCCTGTCGTGCCAACGCCTCGGCGGCTTCGTCGTCCAGACACTTTTTGCCGTACGACGTGACCTTGTTCGCTCCGTCAAACACCATCGCTTGGTGCCACCGTACGGCTTCCTGCAAGCAGTTCTTCCACTTGACAAAGTCCGCTTCGGTCTCGACCTCGACGATCAAGCTCGTTGTGCCGTGTCGAAGTTCCAGCCGGTGATGCCCTTCCACGGAGATGTCGTACAGTGCGTGTCCTGGTCCGATCGGGGTCTCCGAACACAGCACCAACGCCTCTTTCGACGTGTAGTACCCCAACGTCATGTGTTTTTCTTCAAGCCGAAGGATAAAATACCGCTTTGTGAGCATACGAAACCGAGACCCTTGCTTCAACATGTACCCTTCTTGGATCACGTCTGCAGATCGAAACACCGGCGCCGGCTGGTTCGCCGGGGACGAGAACGCGCCTTTTCCATGCAGCCACTTGGAGAAGATGGAGCGTTTCCTCGTCACATACACACCCTCGCCGCTAATATCTCGCGGTGTCGCCGTAGCGGGCGGTTCGGACGCGGGCTCACTTGCCATCCTCAGTCGGTCGATCAATTCAGAGCCGGCGGTCGTTGCCTACTGTAGTAGGATGGGTGCAGTATGTATTTTTACCTGCGCTTCAAAACCTCTATTTATCGATATGTTATTATAGAGGTTTGGATACTCCAATCAACGGAACGCTCTTTCGCCATCATTTTGAATTTTGCGCGCGCAACGAAGGGAGAGCCGGGATCGACAGGATATGGCGACGAAAGTCACATGCGTGCACGAGGTAAGTGGATGCGACACCTAGGGGGAACAAGTTTAAGCTACCGGTAGATGGTGCACAAGATATGACTGTTTGAGCGTCACCTTGGTGGGTCAAGGTGACGCTGGATGAAGTCTTCATCCCATACGCTATCCGGCAATAATGCACATTGTCACAAAGCAACATGCAGACCACCTTTGTACAAATCGCAGAATCGCAAGGGTCTTGGGCAGCCGATACTTGAGCCAATGTGCAACGGGACCTTCCACTGAATTTGCAAATCGCTAGTTTCAAGGGATGTGTCGTACTATCCATCGAATTATAGAAGGACTTACTCACAAGGACATCGGTACCCGTTCTCACAAAGCAAGGATTTTCGCAATTTCTTCATTGAGTGATTGATGGCGTCGATATCCTCAATTAAACTATACATGGTCTCGATTTGAGGTTTCAGTGTTTCTTCATTTAAGCTTACTGTATCATCTATTCTAGGATTCGTACTACACGGTGAACATGGAAATGTGAAACTTGAAGAGCGCCACACAAAACGCTACGGCGCTCACAATGCCTCCCACCAGAACTGGTAGTGCATAGCCCATGGACGACGTGACCATCGCGGCTGAGGCGACGTAGTTGAGTAATTGGCCCCCACACAGTGCGCTGTTCAAGGCGCCGTTGAACAGCCCCAGCGAATTGTCTTGGCCGTGCCCCTTCACATGCACGATCAGGGGCACAATGAGCAAATTGATGGTGGCTTGGGTCAGGCTACACGTGGCCGCAATGGCCACATCTACCGCGACATTCTTCGACATCGCCATGAGGACGAGAAACATCTGCGGGACGATGCTGGCCGCAACCACGCGTTTGGCGCCGAATCGATGGACGAGGCACGGAAGGCCCAAAACGTACACGAACGCCACGACTTGCAACGAATCAGTCAACCCTGCCACGCGAACGCCGTCGTTGAACGCGACTTGCGCGGGGGAACACGCGGCGCCACACACGTCGGCACCACTGGACGTTCCTCCTTTGACGACCAGGCCAAAGAATTGGCCCTTGGCGCCGTTGTACGACGTGTACCCGTACGTCGTGAGCATGACGAGGAGAATGTACACCCCCAAGGGCGACGGGAGCTGTCGAATGCCAGTGTACACGGCCACAAGAGCGTCTTGAAGGCGTCCTTGGATGATCGGTGGCCCTTCCTCGCGCTGGAGCGGCACCTCGGTGACAAACCAGCACGTGGTGCCGCTCGTGGCGCCCAATAGACCGATCAATATGGACAAAAACGTTTTTAAGCTCTGGTGGGCCGGGCCAAATGCGGCAATGTACACGGCCGTGACGAGCAATCCTCCCGACGACAACACACCTGTGACCACGGAGCCCGTGACTTGGCGGTCGCCCACGACGTCAGCCATGAGCAGTGTCACAGGCACCATGGCAATGTTGAGCGTAATGTCTGTCCAGATGTAACACAAGATGACAATGCCTGTCATGGCCGGCCGACTTGTGGCGGTGTCGCCAAAGTACGTGCCAATATCGGCAGCAAACATGAGCACAACGTACGCGAGAATGCTGGTGACGGCGCCCCAAAAGAGAAACGGCCGTCGGCGGCCGCACGGATGGAGGCAGTTGTCACTGAGCACGCCAAGCATCGGCACGACAAGAAGCCCGCACAATGGTCCGACGACTTGAATGATCTGCACGACAGAAGACGAGACCAAGATCTCCAACAACGGACCAAGCACAGCCCATTGCGCCGCCCAGCCCATCATGATGGCAAATCGAGGTAGCGCCACGAGCAGCATGTAAGGGATCGAGCATGTGGAAACCGACGACAAGTCGGCGTCATTGACAGCGATAAACGCCGCGGGTTTGTCGTCGATCATGTCTGTGTTACGGCTGCGTTCGTCCATTATCATTGCGGACAATCCGATCTTGGGAAATGCAACGGAAGAAGTTGAAATTTTTGAACCACTTCAATGACCCAGGTTCAACTCTATCAATACAGATCTCGGGTCAAACCAGGATTTCCAGGATACTAAATACTATACTTTGACCAGAATGAAACTTGCTACAGTATCTTGTGTGCATGATGGTTACAGTATACATAACGTTATATACAGTATTACAATCGGTGTTGTGTACACGTTAACGTTACAATATTCAGCCATGACTGTGTATGTCCTTCCGAGTAATTTTCGCAGCTAATGTTATGTACGTATAGTCGGTGTAATAGTACTATTAATCGTAGCTACTGAAATATGACAATCGCTGGCTCACATGAGGGGGGTTGATGAGTAGCAGCGTGCATGATTGGGCATATGGAAGCTACTGTACTGAACATATACGTACGAGGATGTGGAGAATTCGTCGTCGCCTCCTGCCGACACCAGTCCGTAAGCCTGAGCGTGCTTATTGTCTGGTATTATTGTATTGTGTGTTCTACTCAAAATTTCCACGGGCGGTATAGTCCGCGAAATGACCCCAATGACAAAAAGTGGGATTTCCCTCACATAACAATCGCTACTCTATTATGACACAGTTTCCTGAGCTGAGTCAATGGACGATCCAATCTTGCAGCATAACCTTACCACCTGACCGCGTAGGCTTCGTATATGTTATGCGAGCCTCTCCATATCCCCAGCACACACGCAAACCAAATGTACACACAGAAATCTCGAGTAGTACACAAACTGGACGCCCGCGCTACAATGTACTGCAACGTGCAACTACAGTAAGTAGGCAGATGTGGAAAACTGACATGTTGGATAAATCTTCGAAATTCTATCCAATCATATCATCGCGGCTATTTGTTGGCGATTTTCACAATGGCTACTCCGTCCCAAATTACCTCCACGTTTCACCACAAAATCATTTTTATTACGAGGATTTATTTAAATTTGTCCTAAATCAGACTGATGATCTTTGTATAGCTGAACTGTCTCTTGTGAACAAGCAAGTGGTCGAGCCAATTGGCCAAAACATGTTACATCAGTATTGTAGATATACTAGTACAGGACAAGGATTGCCACCATGGTTACGGCAGGGATGTCGCGATAACCAGGTATGAGTACTCATATAGGATAATGATATTATAGAGTTTACGTTACCTCTGTATGTGCATATTGTTACCCATTTGACCATACATTAATCAAGTCCGGTGAGTGATTTAAATTCTGAGGAGCAATATTATTTTGATGATAGTGTGCACATTATCCAACAAACCTGTATATATAAATATGAGCAAGGAAAACACCGAATTCCCAGCTTCTCATTGGTACAAATTTCGCAGAAAATGGGTAAATGAGTCAAATTTTGAGGTGAGTCGAAGTTGAAACGTGGAGGTAATTTGGGACGTTGTAGTACTTCGGATGTAGCTTAAGCGTTAATCTCTGAACTGTACCAGCATGAACTACTCTGTTAACGAGCCTTACACATTTGTCTCTCCCAGAGTTTCTCGTGAGCTCCGTATGGTGCGCGTCATCTATAAACTACTATATTTTCAACTATTAATCTCCATACAAATTGATTGTGCCCCCGGTCGTATTTTTCCCCGGTTCGCTGTAGTCGCAAAGTCGAGGCAGTGTAAAAAAAACAGTAGATTGCCCAATACCGATATCAGAGAATGGCCCGAAACACTTTTCATGACAAACTTATTAACGGTAAATTGCATATAAACGCTTGTGAATACGTTTCATATTATGAGTGCCTTGTTTTGACGTATAGTGTATTCATGTCTAAATTAAGGTAATCTACTGATCTTCTCAAAATTCACTTTGACCAGAAATAACTTGGTGAAGCATAAGTTACATTGAATCCTTCAAAGCTTGCTTGTACTGGTATGATGTAACGCGTTCCATCATCTATAACACCATAGTTGAAAATTCGTCCAAATCGTCTTATTTGTTGAGAAAGCGTAAAAAAGCTAAGGGGGCTGCAATTTTCGGGTATACTGGATTTTTACGTTACGTACAGACCTGTGTATTGTCAAATCGATTCGAAACTGGAGCACTCACTGGAATCGAATGTCTTAAGAGATATGGTTAAGGGGCTGATCGTGGCCCAACTAGGCCGAGTCAAACGCTTGGATTGGCAGAAATTCATCTGAACGTGTCTTGATTGGTTTAGGCGGTTCTTTAATCCATTCGATACTAGTAATACTTCGAAAATAATATTTGTAAAATTATACTAATATTTGTAAAGTATAGTTTGTACAAGCTTAAATCTCAAATTTGGGTGAAATGCACAATAACAATGCTATTAATAGTACTATTAATAGTAATGGTATGGGTCCAACCGAGTTTTCTCAAACATGGGTTGGGGTTCAAACTTAGATTATAAATGTAGGTCACTCATACGACCGTTGTTCGATACTGTACTACCGGTAGGTGAACTCAAAAAGTCAACCCTCTTAAACTAGAAGTACACTACGTAGTATCATTCTTTTCCCAGCTGGCGACACCTTCAACTACCACCTATAGCTGTACCAACTGGCAGTGTGTCACGGCCATACCCAAGTCGGTCAACCATTGGAGAAAGGCATCCGTCGACCCTTCGACAGGGGAGTTCGTATGCCTACTCGTACAGCCGAGCGAGGCCACGTGCCTAGCCTGCGCGTTTTGAGCGATCTACACAACAAAGTGCATATCACGTTATTCGGGGTGCTATGAAGCTCCACCGGTAGCGATGAGACTGTCGGGGCTAGACATGGTAGCGGCGGCCAATAGCCATGTGGATGAGGTGCGATTTTTTTTTGCGTTGCAGCGGAGCACAATGTTCGACCTACGCGATGGACCAAGCCCCCACCAATGACCATTTGAAGAGTGTCTCGCATTTACACGTGGATTCCACTGGAACCTGTATGACCCAAGCGATGGAAGGCGCGGCAGCCAATGGCCATCTGAACATTGTGCAGTTCCTGACTTGTCGTCGGCTCGAAGGCTGCACCACGGATGATTCTTCCATGTCCACACAGCTTTGTCATCTTTCTCCATCAACATCGCAAGGAAGGGTGTGCGGTGGAAGGGATTAACGAGTACTAGTATACCTGTACGCTGGTCGAGGGGACTTGGCCTAGAATGGGCTCCACGAAAGGTCGGTCGGAACGATGTTCGCCCCGCGTGATTATTTCAGCCGCCAATAAGTAACATTTGAGCATGGTGAAATTCTTTGCTGGGACACACAACTTGACGAAATGCACCGCCCCCGTCTTGGATAGTGCAAAATGGACATTTGGAAGTGGTAACGTAGTATTTGCAGACGGTCAACCCCCGACTTTTGTGTGGGAAAATCACATGGGTCGTCCTAGAGGCGATACAGTATGTACAGAACTGGCAGAGTATTTTGATCTACCCATCGATGCAAGTGTTGCATCGCGAAGAGTCGTCACGCCTTCGTAGCATCAAAATCGAACTCGAAGAATCGAAGGACGAATTAGGAAAACAACAATGCAAAATTGCTATAGCGACATTATCGTCTTGCACTGGTGGCGAAATAATTTCCGAAAGGTCTCCATGGGTTTCACGACGGCAAACAATTCCTCATGGCCACCCACAGGAATGGGAGCAAACTCGGACCCAAAACGTGCTGTTTCCGTGTTTCTAGTTGGCTGGTACATACACTCCGGAGAACTGCTGCAGTTGTAGTAGTGGGATCAGAAATGCAACACATGTGTTAACACCTGGAATACCCAATTCGTCGCCTGTTTTTTTGGGCCCATCGTTTGAATTCACATTGGTAGCAGGGACTGTATACTTCTACGTAGTACTAGTACGAGTACTACTTATTAGTATGTATTACTAGTAACCCGCTAGGATGGACGAGATCTTAACTTCGTGTAGGGTGCTTCGATGGGATAACGTACAGTACTACTACGTAGTACTACTGTAGTTGTACCGGTACCTCACAGTGAAACGAGAAATTCCTTGAATAAAGCAATTCTACTGTTGATTTGACCCGAACTACTGTTTCAAGGAGGAAATTATGCCATCCGGATACACTTTACTAGCGCGTAGCCCTGTAATCTGGGACTTCGTCCCCCCACGAGGAGTACATATAATGCTAAATGCCCGGGGTTAACTGCATCACCAGTGATGCACTTACTGTAACCCTTAATAAAGGGTGAAATGGTCAGAGTATACGAAGTCCCATATAAGCACCAATTTCTTAGAATAGTACAGAGACCATATTCACCCTAATGATCAGATACTGCATGTTTCTGAGAACTGATACCTCGGTTTAGGGTGCATTTTGTACCAATCACAGCGTGATTGGGAATGGATTTCTAAAACACACAGTACCATAATATTCCACAAAATACTGTAACCCCATACATGACAAAATGTCGAGCCCAATCCTTAGTGCACACTTTCCTTCGACGTACAATCCATTGCAATGTGCACTCTAATTTCCCATTTTCATCGTCACTACGTTACAGTAAATGCTATAGCGAGGTGTTTCCCCCTTCACAATCACTTGTTGTGGTGGCACACGACTCAACTTGAAGCTTCAGTGTTGCAAATTGTGAGACATGGATCGATTGACCATGTGGACGGCCCAGGACATTCATTATGAGCCCGGCCCAGCAGACGCACAAGTTCGGACATTTCACGTGCTCTATCTACATATATCGTCGACCCAACTCACTTGTTCATTTGACTCCTCTTGCAACAACCAACGTACAACCATGGTCCGTGTCCTTGCCCTCGCTTCCATCGCCACAGCCTTGGCCTCGGCTACGCCCAGCCTCAACGTCCACCAATTTCGGATTTCCGACTTTTTAGACGAGGTGGACCCCGTGTCGCTTGAAACCACCGAAGCGGCAGTGGACCAAGAGCTTTGGTTTTCCAACCAAAAGCTAGACCACGCGAACCCGTCCAACTCGAACGTGTGGAACCAGCGGTACTTTGTCAACTCGACGTTTTACGGGGGCCCGGGATCGCCCGTGTTCCTCACGATCGAAGGCGAGTGGACGGCGTCGCTATCCACAGTCACGAGCGGCGGGTACTACTTTAACGCGCTTGCCAAGAAACACAAGGCGTTGATTGTGAGCTTGGAGCATCGGTTCTACGGCAAATCGCAGCCGTTTGCCAACTTGAGCACGGCCAACTTGAAATACTTGAGCGCGGACCAAGCGCTGGCCGACATTGCAAACTTTCAAGACTTTTTCTCCAAGTCTCAAAACATCACGGCTGACTCCAAGTGGGTTGCGGTGGGCGCGAGTTATGCGGGCATGCTGTCCACGTGGCTCAAACTCAAGTACCCGACTCGGTTTGCCGGTACGTGGGCGAGCTCGGCGCCGATTTTGGCCAAGGAAGACTACTTTGAGTACAGCGACCACGTGTCCGAGGGCTTGCGATACTTTGGGGGCGATCAGTGTGTGAACAGAATTACGGCGGCCACCACGGAGCTCCATCGCCTCGTCGCCAGCTCCAAGCCCGACGACGTAGCGTCGCTCAACAAGCTGTTCAAGCCGTGCTATGAATTTACGTCCAACGACGACCGGGGGGTGTTTGAAGGCCAAATCTACGGCGCGTTCCAAGGCCCTGCCCAGGCCAACGACTACGCCAAGAAAAACTTGGATTTCGTGTGCAAGGCGTTTGCCAACACGACTGTGTCGCCCATCGAAGCGCTGTCGGCGTACATTGGCAACAACGTCCCCGACAAGTGCACGTACAACAGCCTGCAAGGGTACATCCAGTACTACCAGAACGTGGTGATCGCGCCCGTGGACACAGGGGCTCGCCAGTGGTTTTACCAAACGTGCAGCGAATTCGGGTTTGGCCAAACCACGTCCACGAGCAGCGGCGCGTTTTCCCCGCTCCAGTTTGGCACGGTGGATGTCGTCCAGCGCAAGCTGTGCGCCGCCGTGTTCAACATCACCGACACCGCGGCCCGTGTAGCCCGCACCAACGCCAAATACGGCGGGTTGAAGGTCGACGTGCCCAATGTCGTGTCGGTCACAGGTACCATCGATCCGTGGGACGCGCTGGCCCTGACCAACGCTACCGGCGCCGTCAATGCCAAGACGGACGTGGTCGAAATCCTCGCCACGTCGCACTGCCGCGACTACTACACCCCTCGCGCCACCGACAGCGGCCATTTGGTGTGGGCCCATCAACGCATTGACCAGGCCATCGATCGCTACGTGAACGGTCACGCGAGCTGCTAAGCAAGTAGAGTGGATGTGTGACGTGGTGACACCAATATATATAGACTTCTCGTTGGTGAATGAATAGTACTACCGGTACTAAGTACTACACCATTTTGCAGTTAAGTTGGACGAATGCCCGATATATTTGGCCGTGCGCCCGATATATTTGGTGGTGTGCCCGATATAATTGGCCATGTGCCCGTTTAATTTGGCACACGGATGTCGTGTGCCCGATATATTTGGCGATGTGCCCGATATAATTAGCCGTGTGCCCAAGTAATTGGCCATCTGCCCGATGAATTGAGTCGTGTGTCCGATGAAATTGAAATAACTCAAACAATTATATTCCATGGAGTGCAAATCAGTTTTGGTGGAAACATCATGTGGCTGAAGTTGGGAGGAAAACGCGCAAAGCATTCGAAATTTATACTTTAATAAAGTATATTTTACAACAACGTTTCGTCCATACTTCAACTCCCTCCAAATTGTTTTGAATCTGTCGCGCGCAGTGCTCATTTTTCGATTTTCCTCAAGGTATGCACCTTCGATGGACGCGCGGAGGCCAAGGGCAACATGGACGTTGGGATGTGACGTCACAGCAACGATGCTGCATCTATCGTTTGACGACCATTTCTATATTGAATTGACTTTTTATTGCGTGATTTCCATTTTCATCGGGCACATGGCACAATTCATCGGGTAGGTGGCCAATTACTTGGGCACACGGCTAATTATATCGGGCAAATCGCCAAATATATCGGGCACACGACATCCGTGTGCCAAATTAAACGGGCATATGGCCAATTATATCGGGCACACCACCAAATATATCGGGCGCACAGCCAAATATATCGGGCATTCGTCCAACTTAACTGCAAAAAGGTGTAGTATACTGTTACTACTAACGTTACCATTACCGGTAGTAGTAATCAATTACTCCTTAAAATACCTAAGCTTAGTGTAAGTACTACGTACAGACTCTAGTAGCTCATGTATCTTGTGGATTCGGTTCAGATTGTCGAATCACGAATCGACCGTATTGGCTAAAGTGCGTCTGGTAACCGGAAATATTGCGATTTTCAGGCCGGAAACGCCGTTTTGGGGCCGAATTCAACAAATCTGATCAAAATTGAAACGTGAGAGAGTTTTAACCCAAATCCAATATTTCCGCGTGGAATGTACTCGTTGAATAGGTCCAAAACGCCACATTACAAAATGGACCTTTTATCTTCATTTTGAAAATGGCATTTTAGTTGATCCCATTTTGCGAGAAAATGGAATATTATTTTTGAAATGTTACCAGACGCACCCTAATCCAATTTTGAGAAGATTTGATGATTGGCTCTTACAGAATTGAGAAGTGTATTCAACCAATCAGAACTCCAGCGTGATTCAATATTAATCGCGCGAATTTTGGAAGATTAAAGCAAGTTCACAATACTACTACTATTAATATTTATTCTTCGTTACTTTATACTGTTAGTACTAACAATAATAATAGTACAACTCAGTACCTCCCTTCTGAAATGATTCATTTGCCTTTTTCGAGCTTTGAACAAGTTACCTCGGTCACAACAGGTGATTGCATCGACTACACTTCCAAATAGAGAATTTCACTAGGAACCTGAGTTCACTCAATAGAGAGTCCTGATTAGAATACCCTTGAAGCTATGGGACAAAAAGTGTCAGGAATGATGAACATTTTCACATTATTTTCACATATTCACATAATTATAATGTAGCTATAACGTTATCTGATTTGTAGCAGCATTATCCATACTACGTAGTAGTAGTACATAGGTTTACGTGAAAATCTGTGGTACAGTAAAATATTAAATACCCATATAAACGGATAAAAATTGTACTAGTGCGTAACGGGTAAATCTATCAATCATTTCCGTACAGTCAGAACACCTTGTACTGATAGAGAACATCCCCATTGCCATGTCAGTCAGGTAGCAGCGTCTGCTAGCTGCGTAGGAGGTTTTTGTACCTTTTAGAGGCTTTTCCTCGGGTAGAAGTCAGCGTCACGGAACATCATAGGATGTCTTCAAGAAGTGCAACATCCCTTCTGCTTCACAAGCGTATGGCATTCCTCAGCGAACCCTTTGCTTTCATGTGGCAAAGGCCAAAAGACCCAACGTCGCCTCCAAGTCCATGGGACCACACCCGATGTTGCCTCTCCAATATGAAAACGACCTGGTGACCTGGATCTTGGCGATGGAGCGTGATGGTCATCCGGTTAACCGCACTCAAATCCTGGACAAGGCGGCCGCAATCCATGACACCGTACACGGCTTTACAGCACCGACCAAGCCGACGTCAGGTTGGTACCAGAAGTTCCTTGCACGACACGACCAACTCAAGACAAAGAAGTCCAACGTCCTCAGCAAATCACGACACGCTGTCGACGAGAACGCTGTCGCCGCCTTTTACGAGGAGTTGCTTGATGCCTTGACCCACGTCAACATGGACCCAAAGCGCGTATTCAACATGGACGAGACGAGTTTCTCTCCATCCAAGGCAGCGACGAAGGTGGTCGTTCATCGGTCAACGCAGC